TATTACTTTTGTACAATCCAAAAGTAGGAATAATAAAAAAAAGCTTAATAAAAGTAAAAAGATATTCAGTGAAAATACTGCAGATGTATTAACTATGTAATTCTGTACTGTCACAGATTCATATTTTGGGGTTTATGCAATTAGACAGAAAATGAATAAGAACAATTAAAAGATATTTTATATTTTAAAATGTAAGTAATTAGTAAAAAGTATTACATATTTGCAACAACAAAAATAAAATAGCAACACATAATTTTTTCCCAATCTCATCCATCCATCCCTCCATTATCTTACACGCTTGTCCCAATTGGGGTCGCGAGGGGTGCTGGTGCCCATCTCCAGCAGTCAATGGGCGAGATGCGGGGTACACCCTGGACAGGTTGCCATTAATTTAATTAATTTTTTAAGAAGAACAAGAAAAAAAAAAACACCTCTATCATTCTCAGTAATAGAAATTATAGCAATTTTAAACTTTCTTTCAATATGTAGCCTGATTTTTATTTATTTATTTATTATTAAATATTCTTTTTTTGGGGGGGGGAGGGCTCCTCCACATCTAACCTTAAATTCCTTTAACAGACTTTTATGCCTGATGGGCCATAATACATCCCGTCAGTAAAATCTACCTAAAGATTTTTTTAAAAACCTAACTCTTCCAATTGTATGCATAAATCTCTGTTTAGTAGGATTTTCTTGGTTTCTTTACAGTATGTGTCTTTGTTTTTTTTTTTCTCTCATTCTCTGGTTGATGCCATTTTTGTTAATTTATGGTACACCAATTTCTTAGTTAATTTTTGTATATTTTGTATTATCACTCTTGTTAGGATTTCTTTCCTGGGCATTTTTCTTTTTCCTTCTGCTAATTATTCTCTCTCCCTCAGTCTATTACTTTACTTCTTTATTCTCACCCGATTACTTTCCCCCCTGCACTCCATGCCTCTCCTGTCCCCTGTGTATAAGCTGCCTGGTTTTCTCCTCTCATTACTTGTTCCTTCCATTTGACTGCTCTATGTCTGTTTACTGTTCCATTATGGCTCTGCCTTTTCTACATTTTTTGGCCTTGTGATATTCTACCTTGTAATTTCTTTCTTGATTCATATCATTAAAATACTTGTCACATCTGGGTCTATTGCCCTCAAAATGCTACAGCAGGCCTGGCAGACAGAAAACAACACTTCTTACATTCTGACCAACCTTTGGTACTACTTCAGAAGTGTATGGCAAGCATACCATTGTCTATCTATGTATTTTTAAATAGTACAATAACAGAATAAGTACAAAAAAGGAAATGGAGAACGCATTAAATCAAAACCTGTTAAGCTTGAAGTTAGATAAACTAACATGGATCATTAGAAGGTGGAATTCTGAGTGGGAAAGAAAGAGATGTCTTACCAAGCCAGACCTCAAGATTTTTACCACCGTTTGAGAACCATGGGATCATCATCGCTCCTTAAATTATCCTCGACTTTGAGGGGAAACCAAGGAGGCCAAACTCACAAGTAATCCCTCGACACATCCCAGTCAGTCATGCATTATGATATAAAACATTGAGATCATGTTTAAAATATATGACTTGTAGTTAATTTATGATAGCTCCTTATATAACATTCAATGTCTTTTTAACACTCATGCTGCAGCACAGTTTCCTCTACACGAGTCTTATAAGGCATGAGAACATGAGAAATCTGATTTTTTTCAACTGTATATCCAAGGTTTTGTTGTAGGTCTTAACTATTAATTTAAAATGATGAAATATACAGGAAATAGTCTAATACTGAATACATTTAAAGATGAAGGTTTACAAGCAGTCTTCATGAGCCTGAATGTCCTTCATTTTGGCCTTCATTAATGTATTTTCTGGGTTGGAATCATTATAAAGCCAACAGTTGCACATTAATAATTTTTTAGAAATTTGAAATCGTTAGAATTTTTGAAGGTTTTCATTCATCCACTCAAAGTATATACTCACATACATGAATCCCCACAACAATTTAGACCAATGTTTTTATTATTATTTTTTTTTTTATCAAGAAGTTTTGGCATAATTCAGGCTAGATATACAGTATGAACACTCTTCTAATCAGACCTTCTGCAGATAATTTCCAGGCTTTATTAACAGAGTCGTTTGTAGGGGTTGTTCTTGTCTCTTCACAGCTGGTTTTAATAAAGCAACTTGACATTAATTTTGTGAAAAAGAACCCTTTTGTGAATGTATTCACTTTGGAAACAAAATACTCAGCTCTGGCAATCAGCCAAATTAAATGAGTGTTTCAATTTCTGAAGAGTAAAGAGGTCAATATTCAGACACATTCATATCTAATCGTCTTTTTTATCTAAAAATCTTGTAAAAATAGTTGTAAAACAAGTTTGTAGATGCTTTCACTGTAATGACCTTTTCGAGGCATTTCATTCATATTTTAGAGCTTATCATAACACTGAGCCCTGGTGAAAGTCATTGATGACATCCTCATGGCCTCAGATAAATGACTTGTATCTTTAATTGTCCTGTTAGCTCCCAGTGCTGCACTTGATGCATTCGATCATAATACTCTTTCAGAAGGACTTGGTTTAAATATATTTTTTCTGACAGATTTCATTTTGTTCATGGCAATCATAAATCTTCCTCAAGCATCAGGGTTACCTGTGGAGTACCACAGGGATCCATGCTGGGACCAGTTCGCTTTGCTCCCAATTGGTAGAATTATTAGACAGTGTGGGATCAACTTCCACTGTTAAGCAAATTATACTTAGCTATATTTGTACATAAACCCTGATGAAACTAACCCATTACATAGACTACAGTCATGTCTTAAATATTTATCTTGAACACTTGGATGACTCAAAAATGTCATCTTTTTAATACAGACAAAACAGAATTTAATCTCTTTGTTCTTTCAAAAAGAAGCTGATTAGTCAGTCACTTAAAGGCTTGAAGCTTTTGTTGTTTGTCAAGCTTATAGTTAGAGTGGATCAGGTTATCCTGAACTATCTCTATAATCATGCTACTATAGGCTTAGAATGCTGGAGGACATAAGGACTGCTTCATTATATCTCTATTCTGCAATTCTAGAGTTTTGGTTAGATAAATTAAAACTCTAATTTTATCTTTTCTCTGCTTTTTCTCATCATAGTAGCCACATTTGTTTGGTGGCTCTCTGTTGGCTCTCACACCATCCTAGAGGAAAATATCAACTGGACTGCAGCCATCAACACCTTCAGTTCAGGATGATAGAGTTGGGGCTTTTTTATGGCTTAGTTCTGTTTCCCATGTAGACATAGCTGTGGGGTCAGCTTTTACTGTGACTAACTGTATGTGCTAACTTTGATCACTTTTGGCATGAAAAAGAGGTAAGCTCATCTGCTTATCTGTTTCTTTCATAGACAAAGCCACCTATGGAGTTAGTTCACTGTTACCTTTGCTAACATAGAACTTATTGTTTTCCAGATCAGTGCTTCTATTTTTCCTTTAGTATGTCTGCTTCTCTCTTCTCGTACTCCCAATCAGCCTTGGCAGAAGGCTGCTCACACTGAGCCTGGAGGTTTCCTCCTGTTAAAAGGGAATTTTCCTCTGATTGAATTTTCTCTGTAATGTGCCTTGAGATAACATTTTGTAAATTATTACTATATAAATAAACTGACTTAAATTGAAATAAAAAAAAATAAAAAATCATGCTAAAACTGTGTTTATAGCTACAACAGGTTTTTTGTTTTTTTTCCAGACTTGCTTAGAGCCAGCTATGTGAATAGAGAAAATATGTAAATGCTTCAGCCAGTGTATAAAATTGTATCTCTGTGTGCAAAAAAATTAGCCAAAAAAAAAATGATCATCCTTTTACAAATGATGGCTGCTAACTTCTAACCAAAATCTTACATAAAAAACACATGTTCACAAGTGAATCGTTTTACTAAAGCCCCTGTCAGACCTTGACAATTTAGAAAGTGTATGACACACATGTACGGAAAATCTGGCAAAAAGGCTGGCATACGTTGGATAATTATGGGTACGTTTTGAAAACGTTATGAGGTGAAGTAAGCTGAAGCATGTTGAAATACACCAGCACAAGTCATCATACCACACGTCCCGACGTATGCAAGCGTATGATCATACGTGGGCCACAAGTTACAGGTAAGTTATTTGATCGTTGACATACGTTAAGTAGCCATTGTCAGTTCTCCTCCAGACTTTATCCCCATCATTGGGTGAGCATGAAGGTGAGTGTGATGGAACCTCCCTGCCTTCATGACCACGACCAACAAACTTCCTTGCAGACATGACGCTGAATCTGCTGCGACTACAAAACTTCTTTCTTTCTTCTGTCTTGATCTTTTTTTGGCAGGCGGCAAACAGAAGCTAGGTTAGTACCGTAATCAAAGACATCTTTCTATGCAGGCCAGGCGCCTCCAGGTGTATCGCTGCCCCCCTTAGGACACTGGCTTGGGCATCATTTAATGGGTATTACGCTGCCGTGCGTTATGCACAGGTTAGGCTGTCGTTGGACATACGCTCTGGACTCATTATGGATACGCTATGTTTACACCCAAAATTGAAAAAAATACATAGAAAGTTCAGTGTATGCCAGCTTTTTAGGAGATTCTGGGACGTCAGGTATATACTGGCTAAATCGGCATGGTGTGACAGGGCTCTAACTGAATGATTTAGATTCAGTGTGATCAGAACTAATGGAACAGAGACACTTTTTTTCATTTTTTGTTTCATTTTGTGCAACAATTCTATATCAGCCACAGAAAATGATGAGCCAACACCCGATTGCTTCAGGTGTGACAAGTATTGTGGGGGAGAAATGGTTAGAGACCTGCCAGCCTAATCAGCAGCCCACCTGCTGCTTATCCCAGTAAAAGTTAAACACCATGAAAAGCCTGGAGTATTTCAAATTAGCTTGAATGTATTAAAATCAATCATCTTTCATTTTATTCCTGTATTCTTGGACAGCTCTGACTAATTTAAAAAGAAAACAAACACAAGAAACCGGAACCACAGTTTTCACATCAATTTTATTTTAAATACTATAAAACCACATCAACATATTTTGATAGCTTTTTTTGCATAAATTTGACTAAATAGGAAGCATCTGTCCTTTTAGTATTGAAATGTTAGACAGTGTTATATTAAAAGGAAGCTCAAGCAAGTTCTTTCAGAAGGTTTCCATATTCATTTCCAAAGCAAGTCTTATGAAAAGCTTCTCTTTTGTCATTAAAAGTCACTATGAATGAGCCCATACTTGCAAAAGGGCATGTGTTTAATTTAGTGACTTTCCCAATGCCTTACAGTTGAGTTTGACTAACCACACATGGCAAAGCAAAGCTGTCGTTGGTTCCCTGGAACAAAGGTGGGTTTTGGTGAAAAGGGAATTCACTTCCAATCAATAAAGCTTGGCCTCAAAAAAACTGTAAAATAAAATCTCGGAATAATTTATCTGCTTTAAATATGAATTATCAATTCTGATGGGAAACGGATTTGAGTTATGCTAGTTCATAGTACTTCCCTGACACTGGATCAAAATAGCAGTTGAGGCACGGATCATAGAGCAGTTTGAGATATTCATCTCCATTCTCCTCTCCATGCACCAAGTCATTCCCCCCTGTTTAAAAACAGAGAAAACCAAAGTAAAAAAAAAAAATCATGTTCAATACATGCAGAATGAAACAAGAAAGCATCCTTTACAATCAAGTCAGCACAGATATTCTTTTTGTATTTATTTATTTTTTGTTGCATTGCAACGCCAGATGCGAAGAAAGGCCTACTCTGTCAAGTTTTAATAGAATACAGCTTGGATTCGTGACCTTCAGACCGAGGTGGATTTAAAAGTTTTCTGCCGCTGCCATTTTTTCCCTAATCAATCAAGCCCTAAGACACCCAGACGCAGAACCAAATTATGAAGCCGTAAAAGGATTCGCTGTAATCCCCAACTACCTTAAAGCGCAGAAACCAAGCTGTTAAACTGACAGGCAGTTAAATGCTAAAAAGGTTATGGAACGAATCGAGACGAGCATTTTATCTTATCCGAACGTGGGCAACAATAATGAAAACTAATTATATGACACGTTGTGCTAGGGGTTTAAAAGTGATGTAGTAAACTGGAAAGGTTTCATCAGTTAACCTTGCGGATGTGTCTAGGGTGGTACAGGCCTGTAATGAGCCTGTCTCTTCTGACCTATGGTGTTATGTGGAGGACAGGGAGCTTCATTCTCATGGCTTTTTTTTTTAGCCCTAATTAGATACACTTTCAGTTGGTGTCCCATCTTCCTGCCCACATCCTTGGCGGAAATGTACCATCTCTGAAAGCTCTTTCAGCAGCGACTCTTTCCATTAGCTGAATGCTTTCGTGTAACTAGTCTTAAAGCAGTGGACTGTTTGCTGTCTTTCGTACTTGCAAGGACATAAAAGGGAGAGTGAGGGTAAAAGGACTAAAATGAAGGTTACCATACCTCTGAGTAGACTTTCCAAATTGTTCTCTGTGTTGCCTGACCTTCTCTGCTGGCTGGGAGGCATAATAGGAGGGCTGAGCACGTCCATCCACTCTCTAGGGAAAAGACCATAAAGCCAGACAGTCATGACAACACATACCATTACACTCACCATCTTACCCTATGACATTTTAACAATGGAGTCCCATCATCATGCACTCTCAGAAGCCCATCTAAGATTCCATTGTCCTTGAGCCACTTCTCCCACAGCCTCTCAGATTTACCAGAAGGATCACTTATTAAATTCTGACTCCAACTGTGACTTCCAAGTAACATCACATTGTGGCAACGACTCAGGGTCCTAACCTCGCTTGTTTCTGTGGGAGCATGACTTTATTTCTCCCGAAATGAGTGCATCCTCCCCCATCTGTGATGTACGCAGGGTACAACTATAGATCTTTCACTTACCAGTAAGTGAAAACTCTGCTCCTTTAGCACGGCGTGAATGATTGCAGCCAGGGAGGAAATATCGCAAGATGAGTTATTACTCGGAAGAGATGCAAGATTCATTTGTTAAACAGCATCCATAATCATTTTTCAGCTATACATCAGTTGTGCAATCATCCATTAACATTTTGCGCCTCTGGATAAGAGCAAACCAGAGCATATTTAATGTGGAATTATGGTATAATCTTCTGCACAATATTCGCCTGGCAGCAGGAGATTCAAGCGTTTGCCTCTGGTTGGTCTGCCTTCTCATCCAGAAGTGCAATGTTTGCTGCTGTCGCTCTTTCTGAAAACAGTTCATCCACTTAGGAGGCAAATTTTTCATGGTTTGTTTACTGCTATATTTTACAGCACACTGCCAGCAACATGACATATTTAAGACTCTTGTCAATTTATAAAAAAAACAACACGTTTACATAAATCCAAAGAAGCTTTTCTCAAAAGCTGCAAAAAATTAACAGACAAATTTAATCATTACAAAAATTTTTGCATGATTAATGGAACCACAAAAGAGGTAGTTCATATGAATATTATGCAAATAAATAAATAAATAAAAATACAAATGGCTCTAAATCACACCCATATTTCTTATCTTAGCATTGCATTTATTTTTTCCATTTCTACCTCTAGTTTGTGCCTGCAAGCATTCATTTTGTGCCCATGTACGTAAACCATGGTGTCAGTTTATTGTTTATTGTAGTTAATTACTTGCAGGAAGTCCCCAAAAAAGCTGAACTGTCAAATTAAATTCATAACAACAGAAAAAAAACTAAGAAGAGATAAAAAAGAAGAAATTCCCCAAATATTAACATGGTGAGTTTAAAGAACACTCTGTGCACTCCATGGGCAGCTGTGCAGAAGACCAGCACGGCCATAGAAATTACTTTGGACCTTAGTTGTGATGATGTTTTTGAATTAAGGGAATCTACTGTGGTGTGTGGAATGAGCAGTTCTCTGGAGAATACAAGGGCATTTCCTTGGACAACACTAATAACTGTGGAGGCGGATCTTGCATTGATAGAGAGTGGAGACAGAAAACCAATAGAGAAAGCAAAAGGTGGGAGTAAGGTGGTGAGGTTTTTTGAGTTTTAGTTTAAATTCTGGTCGCATTGTTCTGAATAGACTGAAACTTCTGGAAATTTGTGTTTAACATAACAGGTTGAAAAGTATTACATTGTCCGGCCAAGAGGAAATGATGGCAAGGACAAGTTTTTCAGCATCAGGGAGAGTAAGGAATGGAAGTAGAACTACACTCTTTTTCATTGATGGAAGAATGATGTCTTGCAGAGGGCCTTAATTTATTCTTTCACACATGCCACTCTACAGGTGTTGCCCTCCCACTTAATACTCATGATCACCACTACTATGTATCAGTTCAATTGCATAGTAACATTCAAACTTTATTTGCGTTCTGATTTTGATCTTAGATTTAGCTTTTTGACTCTTACAAAGCAGGTCATATGATGACTTCAGATAAAACTGTCACACAAAATGACATACTTAATTTATGGTATAACATTATTTATAGGACACATATAATGTCGTTTTCCTTATAGAAGTTTATGAATACCTTCAAAAATTTGCTTAGAATTGGTGGTTAACAAAGTAGGTACAATGCTTTACTTCAGAAGGTAAGGACTCATGCATGGTAGGGTCAAAATAACCAAGCGGCTTTTCTGGGTATGCCTCTTGGCATACCCAGAAAAATTTGGTACTTATTGAGTAAAAGTGAAAAGGGGTATAAAATACAGAACAGACCTCAACACCAAAAGCAAATATTCTCTTGAATATTTACAGAAAAAAATTACACATTTAAAAATCCATTATCTTCATGTATTTGGAGATGAATTAATTTCCTTTATTTTTGCTCTAATAGCATTTAAAAGAATTCCCACGCATGAGTTCTTCAGAGGGTTTGATTTTTCTGGATAACAAAAGCCTTTACCTCTTTTCAAAAAACTACTCTGACTGTTTGATGGGCAGGGACATTGTACAAAAGTTAATAGAAGCAATTTTCAAGGACAAGGGCCCCTGCAACCGAATTGTAAATTGGACTTCAAAATGTTAAGTGGGACTTGGCAAGAGTTATTAAATTCTTGGAATTTTAATTTATTACACTCCAAATACAGGCGTGGGATGAAGAGAATAATTCATCTTCATTTAACGTGAGCAGGTACGCTGCCTCGGCAAAGCTAGTCAGTATATTGAAAATATGCTCTTCGAATAGCTTCCATAAAAAGACAAAAAATCCAAAAATATGTATGTTTTCTTTACACCTTTGAAACTCCACTAAAGCTCACAAATGTATTCTCTTTGAAACTATTGTGCTTCTATTTACATCTAAATCGTTTTCTAACACTCTTATTTGCATTTTCTCATTTTGTGTGTCAGCTGACACCTGAGACAATTACAAGATGAATGTACACATGTTAGATTAGAAAATAAGCTGCAGAAAAAAATGGGTAAAAAAAAAGAAGCCATAGCAACATAAAGCTCAGAGACTTGAGCAGTTTAGTTGTTAAGGAAGCTGTAGCTCTTAGCAGAGAAAAAGCCTTGCAGTGATGCCAGAATGCTCTAAAAATCATAACATTATTCACTGTAGGGGTGTCTGAATATCCAAAGCCTTGAAGAAAACAAAGAAAACAGCCAGAAATCCTGTGCAGCTGCTATTTAATATGTAAATCATGACTTGCCTCTAAGTCTAATTTCAGCATTACAGCTATAGATGCTACAGAGCTGTATGTTTGAGCTTCTATTCAATACTAATATCCATTTCAGTGGACATTCAATCAAATAACATCCCTGCACTGAGCAATCGCACAGTTTGTTAGCCAAGTACAACAAAAAGGAAAACATTTATCTTGTTTGTTCCCACAGCTGAGGAGATATTTTACATGTGTTCTTACAAACGACACAGTGACTATTCAAACACATGGGAGTCAACATGTGTTCTGGTAGGAACCTTGCTTTTCATCAGTAAATCTGAAGCGTTTGGCCGGGTGATTGAGGGTGGTGGTGCTTGGAGTTGTATAATTTCAGTGGCGGATCTGTGATGCAACCTCTTTGTCTTCTTTTGTAACACATCACATGGTTGTGTACGCCCATAAAGAGATGGACAAGCACAGAGATGAGGCTGTGCTTCAGCAGGCGCTGGCGCGATTTAATGTCTCCTGAAGCCTCCAAGGACAACTGAATCCATTCATACACTGCCACAGCAGGGCGCTCAGATGGATAAATAGGAACAATACAGCCCCAGATAAAGGCTGGGATTCGGTATCACAGACTCAACAGTATACTGTGACATGCTTGCATTGTAAAAATCATTTAGCATTCTTTGTTTTTATTGGTGTATCGATGGAAAAATGCAGGTATTAGTGTGTTTGGAACCAGATTTCTAAGCCTTATCTCTCTCCAACGACCAAAACAGTTTTGACTGACAGTGGCAATAAAGAGACAGTGCGTCCATGTTGTGTCTGTTTTCTGTGATGTAAAAGACATAAGGCCAGGATAAACAACTTCAGAACTTGTTAGATCTGTAATGTGACTGTGCACCTGTTCAAATGATTACTATTAGAGCTGAAAACAAGGAAGATAACATTTTCATTAATTAAATACTTACAGTTTAATTACAGTCTTTTTGGATAGCAGCCCCTGGAATTGTGAAATGAAAAAATTTCCAATATATTTCCAAAATATACCTAGGGCTACGTCCTTTTCTTCATTAGAAAAGCTTCTATCCTGCTAGACTACACAACCTTATACATGAAGCACATGAGAACATATCAGTTTGTTTTTACAATGATCGCTTGCTGGGAATTTCTGCACTCCTTCAATGCTCCTAATGACCAGTCTTCTCCATGTCCTTTCATCAGGTTTGAAAAATGATCCGGCTGACTTTAATGCCAAAGTTGTTCTGCATTCTCCACTCTTCATCCATATTTTCTCAACTTGATTTACTGTATTCCACATTATATCTAATACCTTGGATAATTGTTTATACAATTCTCCTTTATATGTTAAGATCCTTCCAGTATTTTAGAAGCCCTCAGTAGAAGTTTGGCTTGTGATGTGATTAAGAAAATGACAAAACCACTTAAATACATTTGTGTTTCATTAAAGACGCTTAAATGGCCTCAAAATACTGATGTTTTGCAACTTATAGAGCTGAATAACAATGGAAACATATCTGAGAAGATAAGCTGGTATAACTTTTTACAGAAGAAACTGATGACTTTTTATCAACTCCCCATGAATGTTATAGAACATAATATTTCTCTACCTTTACTTAGAAACTTAGAATCTTAAGCAGAAATGATAGTTTGGAAATATTTCAGACATTCTTTCTAGCTGGTTAGAATGTTTTTGTCATGCAGCAGAATGTAGTTCAGCTTTAAACTTGAATGAAGGCTGGAATTACTAGATTATTCTATCTCCTCTTGTAATAAGAGGTTACTCTGCTGAATTTTATTCTATTTTTTGTTTGAATTTCAATCTACAGGCAAGGAAAACCTGTGGAACACGTCTAATGGGTGTTCTTTGTTAAAGAGAACTGACTATTCTGATTCCCATAAAGACAAAAGGACTTGCTTTCTGTTTAAAAAAAAAAAAAAAAAAAAAAATCTAATGTCTACCAAAATTTTACTTCTTATTATTTTTTTCCCCCAGATATGAAATCTGTCAAGCCTAATAATCTGTATATAAAAAAAAGAAACAAATGGCATTGTGAAAATGACAACAGCAGTTCTGGGAGAAGAAAGCACAGTACCTGACATACTCCAAGTTTATTTGGAGTCTTCTGAGAGCAAGATAAGCCCCAGTCTACATATCCATCTGACAGTTGACATTTAGAGTAAATATTGCAGTCACTGGTAACCATCCGATTATGAATTTCTATCTGCTTTTCCTTTTTTCCACGTCTAACTCTGAGCTTCAAGGCAATTTGTTTTCCAGGCAATGCATGATGTACATCACTGGTGCTTACAGTTTCTAAACTATTATCTCCTCTCACCACAGCTATTAATAATCCAGTATGCAAAGAGGTTAGACAGCATGTCAGTTCTGTTTAAGAGGAGCGAGTCTTTTACCAGTGAGATTTTCAAATTCAAAACAGAAAACCTACCCGTGTCCTTATCTAGCCCAAAAGTTTGTAGAATATAATATATTTCAAAACTATAAAAGGCACAGACATGTTTTGTGAGATGCATGCTTTTACCTTGGATTTGATTGAAGCAAAGGATTCATTTCCGTCTGATAATGATGTCCCTGATTCACTGCCTAAATAAAATGATAAAAATCATGTCAGAAGATCAGTGTGAAAAAGCACAAGGTATGTGAATTAGAGACAGAAATCAACAAGCATCAAGGCTCTACACTGATGCCTCTAACTGCCATTTACAACGGATAGTTGTTGCTGGGTTTTTAAGTCTCTTTTTTTCTATAAACAGAGTTATGTCAAAAGAGTCAGAAAAATTTTACTTCATTGTAAAATAAAAAGGTTTACAATGATGAATTAGGTAGTAAGTGGAGACAGTGCACCAGTACAAATACTCAGGTGTTGATCTGATAAGCTTTACGGCTGCCTGTGTTTGTTTTGTCTTTTGAATTGTATGAGGGAAATTAGATTAGTGGTCTCTAACAGAATAACTTTTTACTCTTCTTCCTTAAACAAAAATCACAAACAGTAGCTGTTAAAATTCAAGCTCACTCAATTTACTATATTTGGGGATATCAGAGCTGCTGGTAAATCTTTATATCCTACATAATACCTTTGAAAGCATTGGTTCATCAGATCAGCAGCAGACACCAGTGACAACAGAAGCCATGTGTGTCCTCGCTATCTTACTTTCTCCACATATTTCTTACGATGTACGATGTGTGGTTCAGATCATAAGCCATTCAAACCTTATCTGCTCCTTTTTTATTCAGCACCCTGGTTAATGTCGATCTCTCGGCCTTTAAAGAATGTTGTTCTTGAGTAATTGCGAATGAATGATTTTCCCCTTAGGGCAAACTCTTAGTATTTGCACTAATGAAGTTTCATGACAGATGTGGATAACGATCCGCCATTCTACTCCAGAGCCTTCTTCACTTAACTGGATTTTCTGAGCTGCTTTTTTTCTTTAATATTGAAAGGACTGCCACAACAGCTGTCTCCTATGGACCAGGTCCTTTAAATGCAGTTAAACTCAAAGTGCATTTTTTTTCCACTGCAGAATGTATCAGACTGTACTGTTTTCCCCCATCAACAGTGTTCCTGCTGTCTCTCTGATATATTTTGATTTGTTTCTGCAGCCTAAGGATGGCTGGTTCCATTTACACTGAGAACTTGTTTGACTGCACATTGTGTTTGCACTGCAACAGTTTCCATACACACAAGCATCAGTTTCATACCTAGCTGTCCACAATAATGTCATATTCGATCCATGAAGACTTTTAATTAGTGTTTAAAAAGACAAATTTTTCATTGTTATTACTTGAAACATCTAATTTTTTCTAATTTTATTATTTTATGTTAATAATTTGTATGACAGTTTCTTAAAGATTCACAATTTTACTGTTATTTGTGAAAGTTATTTATGTTTTTTTTTTAAAGAAAAAGTAGATGAGAAAGAGTGTTGGCAATGTTGCTACATCTATCTTGCTATCAGTTATTGTTCCCTTTCATTGAATTAACTCATAAACTAAGCTAACCTTAAATTAAGGTATAGCTATTGTTTAGATATACCTTAGTATAACTAAATCAGACCCCCTTTTTCCCATTAGGAGTATTTTAGTAGTTAATTTCAACGATTTAGCAAAGGGTTATTTTAGTCTACATTTACAAGAGAGCATCACATGGTTGCTGCAGATCAGTAAGCTGTGCATCCATGATGCAAAGCCTTTGTTTCACCACATATCTATAATTCTTTGATAGATTCTGGGATGAGTTGAGATCAGGTGTCTGGAGTACAGTGATCTTTTTTGTGAAGTTCCAGAAAGAAGTTTTAGATTATTTAAGCTTTGATACATTGTGTACTATCCTTCTGGTAGTAGAAATCAAAATAGGGGTATATTTTGGTTTTTAAAGGATATCCTCTTTTACCAACAATACTAACCTAAATGAGGGAATTATAGCCTTGGTTTTGCGTTTGCACCTTGATACTAGTGCTCTCTGGGTGTTACTTGGACAATTTTTTCTATACATTAAAAAAATGATCTCACATGAAAATCCGTAGCTTCTAAAGACTCAGACAATAGTTTAGGATCTTTGCGACAGCTGGGTCTGTCTTCATTTAAATGTATTTTCTTCACCTTTGTGATGCTTGGATTGATTTAGTCACCATGTCTAGATGTCCAACCAAGCAAATCTATTTGCTCAAATGTAATTGGCTTATTCACTATTTGTATTAATAAACAATTGAACAAGTGTACCTAAATAAGTGTCTGGAACTGTAAGTGTATGTAATCTATTACCTATTATGAAATTAAAGCTTAGCTTTGGAGCTTTGAAATTCAGAAGCTTAGGTGTGTTTGGGTAAACATCAAATCTAAATGTGTCAGAGATAAAAAAAACAACAACTCTAAACCAGGCCATCTGGTCCCTGACCTTTCTGCATGACAAGAATACACTCTGGTAGTCAGACTTCTTCTGACAGGGCTCCACCCATGTTTTACATGGGGTCTTCAAAAGGAGGCCCTCTGGCAGATGCATGTGCAGCCCTGCAGCGAGGACCAACCAGAGGAAGTGAGCTTTGAATTCAACTGCTGAAGTGTGCTTTGATTTATCCTCTGCTTTACAAAATAGCTTGCGTCCTTGAGAAATGCATATGGAGCCATATGCTTTGTACTTCCTCTCCCATTTGTGGAGATCCATGACTAAATTCAATGCAGTCTTGTCTGAGAATTAAACCATGCCAGCATGGCCCCTATTATCAGCGGAGTAATTTCTGTATTTCTGGAGCATGTCCCTCAGGTAGGCATTATATTCAGTGTGAGGAGTGTCTTGTGGAGACACGGTCCAGAATATCAACTCAACTCTCTAACACAAAGTGTACCACTGGAACTGCTCATCAAAACAGCACACAAGAATATGAAGGGGACCAGGGGGGAATTCTCACAAAAGCCTTTAGGTCTTTAGTTTCATATTTCTATGTAATTTATGTATATATTACGCTGCCTGGTCAGAAAGTTTGTTTCCTGCAGAACAGTTTTGGTTCTGCACAATAGAATAGGCGAATATTTTAATTCAAAGTAGAGAAAAAACAGATATGCAGACACACACAAGAGATCTAAGAACCTGAATAAAGGGGTGAGCTAAGAAAGGTCAACACTGCAAGATCAAGGGATCCATAAAATTATAAAAAACAAATTATCAGATGTATTATTCAAAACTAAAACTACTACAGGGAAGGCAGAGACAAACAGAAAGACAGAACCTGCTGAGGCTAAATACCATAGTATAGCCTCAGGAGTGTTTTTAAACGTAAGGGCTATTTTATTAGATGACTTTGATGAAGAAGAAGACACACTAGAGCTTTGGTCTTTGCATTGCCTGATTTAATTTTGGCTGTCTGTGTGGTCCCACTGCCTTTCTTTATGTAATACTGTAGTAGAAACTAAAATTGCACCCTGAGGATTTCTGCAGGTAAAATGGACTGATGATGACAAGTTACCAGGAGGGGGATAAGGAAAGAAAAAAAACCCCACAAGCTGAAGGTTAGAAAGCATTTCAGTATTCCATTGTAAAAGAAAAACAGTCCCACATGTCGTCATTTAAACTTGCTTTAACTGGAATTTCAAACAAAGTACTTACAATGAATAGAATATAAAAATGCATCTGCTGTTCTAAGAGGTACATTATTTATTTTGAACACTATTTCCATTTGTTTGACAGCTAAATGTGGTTTGAAGGTTCAGTTCGGCAACTGCAGCTGATGCAGCGATGGCTTGCATGACACAGGAGTTGCTGCTGAGCTTTTCATACAAACACATATGAGACGACTGGTTTTTACAGCTGACATCTCAATTGCTTGTATTGTCTCACTGTGTTATCATCAGCAATCATGGAGCTCTAGTTTATTATAGCTCCATCTCATATCGACATTTGTAAGTTAGGATTTTGCATATTGAGTATGGAAACCCTGCAAAAAAGTAAGAACTAAATAGAAAACCTTGAGAGCTGTGTTAGTCTCTTTAGACATTGTCCCAAACATACTTTTTTTTTCCTTAGAAAAATTAAAACATTGAGTAAAAGGCTTTGAATAAAATTATGCAGTGGAATCCTATTGGCAAACATGTCTAAATAAACCATAGCAGATAATTACCGTCTACCTCAAGAGCATTTCTTTTAATCAAGGCTGTTTTCTCGGGGATGAGTGGTAGTCCAGCTGCCGTCTCAGGGCTGTTTTCTTTCATTTTCTATGTATGCAACTCCAACTGTTTACTTGCACAGCTTACTGCCCAAACAAATTTACAGGCGAGGCAGTAACAATGAATATTTGTCCATAAGTGAAACAAATGTGTATTGTGTAACTCTCACAGAAACCTTGCTTAGCGGCGGCTTTCAGATGTAATTATATTACACTTACAGTGGGAATAAATCTCTCTTGGATTCAACGGGAAATATAGTGAAGATGTGTTTACTAATGAAAAAAGCGGCTTTCTTATTTATTAGTTAAATATTTCTCCTAAAACATTTTGTATCATTAAAAAAATTTATCTAGCAAAAATACTATAGATATATCAAAGTCTAAAAATGGATAGTGTGCTGATACTAGAAAGATAAGGGGAAAACATTTATTTTTCTTTGTGTTTAAACCAATTAAGAGATGCCTAGAAAATCAATTGGTGGGGCAAAATAGCTGAACTTTCTCCTTTACTTTGTGTGTGTGTAAGTGGTTATTGAATGAAGAAGGGAGAAAACTAATGTAAACAAGCTTCTAAACTATGATGTTTAAAATAAGGTTGGAAAAACCACAAAACAAGTATGAGGTTTCAAGAATGGCATTTTCTACAAGGTTATGCCAGCTATTTCTGCAGGATGTTTAAAACAGAAAACAGCAAGTTGTGTGTATTGCAGACAATTTGCTCCATATTATCTTTTTGACTAGCCAAGTTTTATCTGGTATGAGACACGCTGGATTTGGAAACAGAGTAAACTGAGTTAACGCTGAGTGAACTGGGTAAATACTCATATGAGATCCGTGAGGCAGCAGAGTAAACTTTTAGGTATACAAAAAAGCAAAACATTTGGAGAACAACTTTTCTCTTACACGGTGTAATACTGTATAAACACCCGCCTGAATGCCCTGCAAGCTTTTAATAGCCTAGGATAAATTATTATTTAGCTTTATTCCAAGCTTTTTATCCAGCTCAGTAAATTATTTTCCTGTTATTTATTGTTCTTAAAGAGAAACTAAAATTGGCTAACAGGGTTTTAATGCCAGTAATATCAGCCAGTCAGGGCTTTTAAGAATCTATGATCTATAACTGGATACAGAATTCCAGAATTCAGCTCTTTCCTACAGTATATTTATTATTAATTCAAAACAGTTAAAGGCTTGGATATGCTGTTTTTACACATTTTCTCTTCAGGGGGACAGATGTAGATTAAACTGACTAATTTGTCTTTTTGTGTGCCTCTGGATCCTTTATCAGGGTCCTACTGCCACAGGCCAAACCAAGCATGTTAGGTTAATTACTGATTTTAACTGAGTATCAGAATGAGTGGTTGTAATAAGATGCTTCACCTCTTTTCAAAAGTAAGCTAATAGAAAATCCAAACAAGATAAATTACATTGAGCTGATGGATGTTCAGATTTTACTTGAACAAACATTTTAACCATACATGTCATGAGAGTGCTATGTTTCAGATGTAGCACTAAGCTGGATTTTTAAACACAAAGGTTAAAAGTTAGGGTTCAGAACCTCTATAAGGTTAACTGCTTGTATGCACATAGTATTGTATCTAAACACTGGAATCTCTTATCTGTTTCCCCCAATGATGAGAAAATGTTTGTGGCTGTTTGTAACCTCCAATAAGAAAAAAGTGCTGTGTCAAGCTGTTTCAAAGCTTCCTCTGCCTTTATTTTGTCAAGCTGATCTAAGTGCTTTAGGTAAGGAAAAAAAAAAGGGCTGAACTTTTTTAAAATATGCTGATGTCATCACTGGTGCTACTTCTCAGGAAGCTAGCCATAAACAGAAAAATATTCACCTTAGCAACTACAGAAATGGAGCAGGACTACAACCGTCTGTAGTTGTTTTGCAGGATTTGTCAGAAAGGCATTTTCATTATAAACACAGGAATGCCCTGTTAGGTGTGAAAGACTGTCAACACAGTGTTGTTGGTGATTGTTGTGCTTTTATCCTTGTGCAAAATGCAACTTTGTCATGAGCTGTTTAGTCAACACTGATATATAGGAGAGCTATTTTGATGAGGCAACTGGATGTGGCTCTCTACAAATGCGTTTGTGGCATTTAAAATATCCAAAGCGTTTGCTTTAACCGTTTAAACTACTCACAGCATCTGTCACAATCTCAGCTTAGCAAAGGTTTTTAGGCAGGGAAAGACAGAGGGATTAATCATTTGTTGGTAACCTGTCTTTTATATGAGCTATTTTTGGTTCTGTTTAAATGACTTCCATTTTTACTAATTCATTTCTCTTTTTTTTTACATTTCTATCACAATTATGAATATATTTCATATTTTTAACTGGAGGTAAAAGGATAAATGTTTGTTGTTTTTTTATTTGTTGTTTTCTTCACTAATCTAAACCTGATGAAATCTGGCATCTATTTGTATCCAGTCCCTTAAAAAAACAAAACATATAAATTCAAGTGTATTTTTTGTTGTTGTACCAATATGCATAAGATCTTAGCTTATTACATAGTGCATGTTGGTAGTCCAAATATGCATAATATGCATAATTTAATCTCAGGATAAAGGCAGCTTTTCTGTAAAGGCCTCGTAGATTTTAAGAGATCTTTAGTAAAATAAAAGATATTAATGAAAATTGACACAGTAAAATGAGCAGAAAAGAGCTGTGTAAAAGATAAAATCAGGTTTATGTTAGAAAACATATCAAACTTTGACCATGTTATAAACACTGTGTGATCCATCATTTGGAAAATGAAAACAGCACTATCACAAACATCAAGATATCTTTAGAGGTCTGCAGCTTAATTAGGATAATTTGTCGTACAACTTTTAGTTGTGCACGCTATAAGTCTGATTATCATGGAACAGTGCAGGAGGAAAGCCACTGTAGAAAGAAGCCCATAGGTAATCCCATACATGGAAGGTAGAATAATTCCATTCTAAAACGAGACCAAAATGATGTTTTTTTTTTATTGTAACTCCAAAATGCATTATGTGGCTCAGTCCCCCTGAGCCAGAACACATCATTCCTTTATAGCATCTGTATCTTCATGCTGTGGAAATCCTTCCTTTGCCGTAGAGATGGAAAAACTTTAGAATTAATGGGAATTTATGACCATGCGTCAATGTCCACATTTGTGGCAGCATACCATCTATCTAATTGAATCTATCTCCAGCTGTTTCATTACAGATTAATGGGCAAAAATATCAGTCCCTAGATGTGGGAAGCTGCAGTACAGTAGTAGACATTTTACAAGGAGTTGACCCTTTGGGAGCTGAATACAAATGCAAATAACACTTTTCAGAGATTGAATTGAATGTATCATTTTCCCTCCTTGATACAATTCTGCATTTTTATACATTAGTCTAATGCATTAATAACCCTTATAAAATGCATTACCTTTGTGGGTGCACCAAGAAAAAGGATGAGGACATTCAACAGCTACTTAAAGCTTCAGCAAAACCGTAAATAAATCCACTCAGAAGTAATTCACTATGGTCTTAAACTTTATGTTCTTTAAGTTTGATTTTGCCAGTGCTGTATATAAAAATACACTCTTTTCCTGGAAAATAAAGCACATAACTGAGTTCTGATTAAATTGGAAAATACTTCAAGGTACACAAATATTGCCCTGCAGAGTTGTTGTTTTTTTTGCCAAAAAGAGTCCTGTACCTATAAAGTCAAAGACCACATGTAAATGTGACACAATTTCACACAACTGCTTAATCTACACGTAGAGTGCTAGTAATGCAAGCCTCGCACAGCATTGCCTGGGGGAGAACTTCTGTCTGGGCTCTTACAGTGGCTGCTGAAGCAGAGAAACCAGCAACAATGGCAAGAATGACAGCAGTGGGAATCACTGAAATCACAGCATCCAGGGACAAGAAATAGCTTGTCATTTCCTGTGAGCGCCTGCTTTTTCTATTAGGGTTTTATGATTATCTTCTGGTTCTAAATGCATCACTTCATTTTTTGTTGGAGGTTTTATTTGTTCTAATGTCTCAACGTCTATATTTACCGACACAACATGTTGTACTGCTTTTACTTGCCCTCTTTTCTCTTTATTTTGGAGGATTTTTTCGTTATATGCTGTTGGTGGTGCTGTTGTCATACTGTGCATATTAAGACTTTTAAACAGTGCTGCTGATAACAGATCACTTCTGTAAATCTCTCTCAGTCCTTCAGTAAAAGCTGCATGCAAGCTGGGCTTCAGAAACTTTTTTTTTTTAACAGTGACCATATCCTTGTGTCCTCAAACCAAACCACAGGATGAAAATCCCTTTTGGTACCACTCCTGTTTATATGCAGCTTTAATCCCTGTACTTTAAAGGAAACCTGCATGTATGGAGCTGCTAACACCCCCAGAACCTGTGCTTTTGTGATGACTTTTATTCTGTGGGGATTGCGCAGTGAAGCCAACAGTGTTCTGTCTTCATAAAAGACTGGTGCATATGCTAATGGGCCATAATATAATGACCTTCAATAGCCAAGAGCAAACTGCACCATCTCTGAATTCTGTAGACTTCTAAAGGGATGATTTCAAATGACCTAAATAATTTTCAGTCACTTGGGGTGCTGCCGATATGGTGCCTGTGTACTCTTAAAAGCAGGAATAAGCCAATAAATATGCTGCGCAAGTCCTTTGTAAATCAAAAAGCCAAGATGCATTAGTACTTCAGGACTCCATATGTTGGGGCTTGAAATGGAAATGAGTGGAAATGAGGGTCAACCAGGGTCAAAGGAAATATTTCAGACAGAAGAATAACCTACTAATGACTACATCATCCTGCTGAACAGGATTTGTTAGGAAAGAGTTAACAAGAACTGCTGGAAAGTATCAGAGGGTGATAGGGCATACTTGCTGGATGTGGGTCCAGGTTGAAGGGTCATCATTGCTCAGGCTGATGCTGACATCACACTGGTGGATCTGAGACGCTCTGAGGGCAGGAACTCTACACTCATCTTCCTCCTCCTGTCTTTTTAAGCTTGCCAACATTCGGAGCTCCTCCTCGTCATCTTCATACATCCTCATACTGCCGTGCAGTTGTGAGATATAATTACTCGACTCAACAGTCCTTTGGATCTCACCGTCTTCTTCCTTTAAATTTATTACCCATAAAAGAGAAATTACTCATCTGGAAGGCATCCAACACTAAGTCCATCGGTGTGACAATCAGTGCCTAGAATATGTGGAAAATTTGTCAAATACCCCTTACACTGTTCCACATGTTGTAACACTAACACCATAAACTGTCATGTATGAATAAAACCTAGAGTATGTGCCAATTATTAGTATACCCCCCTTTCCCTACATTCACAACTAAATGCAGCATATCTACTACCAGAGACTATCAAATGGATTTACGTAAACTAGTCATTTTAACACGTATTATTTTTAAGTCTTTTAAATGTCTATATAGCTTCATAAGCCTTTCCATTACCACTGAGCAGCTTCATCTGAAAATCACTCCCCAAGCATGATGCTGCCACTGCTATCTTCTGCCATTAGGATGGTAGTTTTTGAGCGTTAGTTTTTGCAAAACTGCATTTCAATGTAGTTAAAAAAGGTTAATATGGTTTTATTTAACCATAGTACTCTCCTGTGCATAAATGCAGGTGTCTCCTTCATGACTCCTTGCTAAGTTTAAACTTGACTACAACAGATACTTTGCCCTTGCTACTATTTCATAAAGGATGTGTCAGGTGAGGACGAATAGCAAGTGTGTCGCACAGATTCTTACACCTGAGCGTTTTGTTTACTAATCCTCTATAACGAACCTGTGAGGCCTTGGAAGAACAGCTGGATTAGGCTGGATTAAATACAAACACTTGCACTTTATCAACTAATTTGGTTATCAGAGTAATTTTATCTTATTTGCAAACAAATGAAAGAAGAAAGTGTTTTGTTCTCCTTCAACTTTACAGTTATTTGCCAGTTTGGACTGTTCTAATGCATTCCTTTGCAATTAAAAAGATATAAATAAGAAATAAGATATATGAAATGTGTAAATGAGCTCTGTGTTCTTTGCTGCTTACATAGGTGTAAAACTCTTAAACTCAGCCATGATACCAGGTAGTCATTAAGGAATTACAGGTCTAGCTCTGTTGTTTTGACCCTCTTTAAAGAGTACATCTATTGACTTAGGAGACCAATATAGTAACTCTATTGGTATGGCAAATGTAAGGAACCCTAGTGGTGAATCAATTGTAGTCAATACACTGAAGCTGCAGGAGAGGAAACAAAACTCCTTGTCATATTTCTCTGACAACATTTCACTCAAAGCTGTCACTGCACGCTGCCTGCTGGGTTTGGCACAAATCAGGGGTGAGGTGCTCCACTGATGAAGGATGCTGCGATTTCACTCAGCAGAGAGTTGTGTGCATGCTTTTTGCATGCACAAGACTCTCTCGCTTACATTGAAGCATGCAGCTTCAATGTGAGTGAGAGTCTCCCTTATTTCTATAGTATAATTCTAAAAAACTCCTTTATAACCCCTTTAGCTATGTGGACTAACAGTGATCACACAGTGCTATGTATAGGGACAGCTAGAAAACTACATTGCCTTGCAAGATGTTCATAGGCTTTAAACTTTTAGACATTTTTGTTGCCAAAAATGTTGCCAAAAAACAACTATTAACTTACATATATTTTATTAGGGCTTAATGTAATAAACCATTACAATGTAGTGCATGACTAAAGAAACAGGATAATAAATCTGTCATGGTTTGTGGAGGAGTAGGACTGAAGTGGTAAGCAGACATCAGGCGTCACATAACATTAAAGGAGGATTTAATGCAAAAACTGATGACAGAACGACGAGAACCAGACATAGGGAAACTGAAAGACAAAGGCTTAAGTAGCAAAAGGAATAACTAAAAACAGGTGTGGGTAATTAACTACAAATAAACAAAAAACTGTTAATCTCATCTTGTTTTTAGAAGTAAACATCTGAAAAGTATAGCATGTAGTTATACATTAAGCTGTTCATACCATCTAACTGAGCTTGAGTTATTTTGCAGAAAAGAAGAAAGTGAGTCCCCAGATTGGAAAAGCTGGTAGAGACATACCCCAGAAGACCACAACTGCGGAAAAAGGTAGGTTTAAAGTGTTAAACTCAGGCGGCGGAATACTAATTCACATTACACTTTTCTTGTTTTATGTGTAGAAATATTGAATTTTCTTCCAGCTCTAAATACACCATTTCACCTAGTTCTATTATGTAACATCCTGAATGTCATGAGACTAAATGCAGAAAAAGGTCAAGGTGCCTTCAAACTTTTACAAAGTTATGATACCAAGAAATGTGTTAATATGCAGCTTGGTTGCTACAAGACCACAAATCTTAGTTTTTACAACATGAAAAGGTAGATATTTCCAAGTTCTAAAAGACAGGAATCCACAGGAATAAAGTCCTCTTAAGGGAAATTATATTTATGTTGCTTCCTTTTTCATTTTGTTTTTAGAAAGAACAAACAACAATCAACTGTCTTCTTTATTTCTCTGTGGCGTCCACAAACTCCCCACAACCGCTAGGATGTTTGATTTAGCCCACTGTGCATATACCTGTTCTTTCTGTCACTGCTTCATCTGATGTTTCTTAAAGGACAAACAGTTCATGATGGATTCTTCTGAACTTCTAAAAGAAATAAATCCCTGCAGGGACAGCTGACAGGTGCAAAGTCAGGCTTTGACTGTTTAGCATATTTGCAGAAAAATGTAGGCAAAGAGGGTTAACATTTCTCTGCCTTAGTAGAAACCAACCCATCTCATCTGATCATTTTCAGCTTTAAAAAAACAGTTGTCCAAAACCTTCAAATCAAAGAGAACAATGGCAAAATACACTGTATAAACCACACTTACTTGGTTTTCAGTTGGAAAAATACTAGGGTCAAGCCTGATATTCTAGGAATGGGTTGCGTTTTACTGAGAATACATTTTTTTGTACGTTTTGATGCAACGTTATCTGAAAATCTGCTGTCTTTTGCTGCTAGGCATTATAACACCAAACATGAGGAACTCACAGTAGGTTCAGTGTCTCATCAACAGCTATTCAGTTAAAAGAGTTATCACTTGGAAATCTGACTTTTTCACGTCGAAGCATGTGTGAAGGTGGTGGGCTTCTGTTGAAACCTGCCTTAGAGTTAAAGTCTCTTGGTGTATTTCTTTGTTCAAACCAGAAAAACTCACAAGAGTGTGCTCTCCAAAAGCACCAATTTGGACCTCCTCTTGGATTAACATAATTTGTGGAAGGGTGCTAATATTAGCTCACTTTGGCATGACCCTGCTTTCTATATTCTACCAAAAGCAGGGATTCCAACAATCAGAAATTCACCTGCACGAAGTTGGTAAGTGTTGCTGCTTGTGTTAATTATGTAAATGACCAGGAAACTATAGTAGACAAACAATGGGAAACTGCTGATTTTTCTAACCCTACATATACATAAATGCACATTCACAAATAAAATTCTCACCTTCCCAGAAAAAGAAGGGTGGGATTCCAAATGAGCTCCATTCATTTTTTCTTCTCAGAATATTTAAGCATATATTTAAAGAGAATTTCAAAGGGATTGTAAATGTAAAATACCAAGTGTAGACTCCTCTAATAATAAGGAGAAAAACAGAAACATTGGACCATAGAACCATTGTAAAATATATGTTGTAAGGTCAGTGATTATTGGTAAACTTGTGAATCCTACCTTAGGCTGTTTGGAGTTGCTGAAGTGAACTTCATGCAGAAGTCTCCTACAAAGTGAAATGCTGATGTCTTCACCGAAACCCTCATCTGATTTTTCAGACTTGTGGCGTCGTCTGTTAGGTGAGAGGCAGCGCTTGGGGACCATGCTTGCTGGTTCAGCTCTTCGGTTGCAGGGCGACTCTATGCAGGTGTTAGTTACACCTTGGTTCTGTGAAACTTGGTTTGTATGTAGAGATTCAGATGGATTCATGGTCAGCACCTGCTGACTTCTATCAGCAGATCTGCTGGTAGCAGGATAAGGCATGCTAGTTTGTTGATGGTGGAACATGATGTGACTTGTATCCTAAAAGAAAAACAATGTTTTTTGTTAACTCAAAACACTATTAAAGGTAAATAATTAACTAAACATATGTGACTCTTGGAAATTGGAGCGTAAACTTATATGTGTTGTTCTGGTATTTAGAACGATGTGAGCATTGCCGGAATAGTTTGGGTAAAAGACAGGTAACCGGTGCCAAAGTGTTAAAAGCTTACATAAACAGCTAAGAGTGTTTGAACAGAGGGTCTGTTCTCAGAAACTGTTTCAGATACTTTTTCAAAGGCGTAGACAAGTCTCAAGTCTTTTATGATTACAATTACTCTAATCATTATTTGTATATACTAAGTATATCACATAAAAACTGACCATATTTGCCAGTTGTTAGGTTACATATTAAAATAAAAGGATCTAATATTTACTGATAAAATATTTCTAAATATGTTCGTTTTTTTTTTTGTTAACTGCTTTTTATTTACATTTTCAGGGAAAATGAACTGATATTAATCAGTACCAGTAATTGCAATATTTCTAAATCTATTAAAAAGGAAGTCCTTTTATTTTAAAGAATTAATGATACATTGTGCTGGTACTAATTGAAGGCCAAAAGAAGAAGAGAAAAGAGAAAGTTTAGTGTGTTTTAAACAATACAAAGTCAGAGCTCAGTTAAAGATTACTATGATGCTACATCAAACATAAACAGGTTGCTCTAAGCCATTGATTTTAATCCCCACTAAGCAAACAGAGCTTTAATAGGAGACTGTTAAAGCAGCAGACTGTTGGCTTGTGTTATGGTAGCATTAGATAAAACAAGAACAACATGGAGGTTAACTCTTTTTACGATGTTACCACAGAAACTGGTAATTTTGTAGTCAAAAGGGTCAGGCCATATGGACTTAAAATGTTAATGGTGGTATTGTGATAACAGCAAAAGTGATGATTAAAAAATATTTCTTACTTTTTTGACTTTTTAAGCGACTGTATGGCAGTGACTGCTTGCAATAGCATGCATAGCCTCACAATGACAAATTCTGCTGTTGAAAAGCAAAGTAGGCTTATTCAGGATACCAGTTTCTTTAAGAATTGTGATTTTTATGACTAAACTGCACACATACTAATCAAATAAAATCATAATTTCTTAATTCACCAGTTTTCTATTAGAACAAGCAGCAGAAAAAAATCCACCAAGTTCTTTCATTTTCCAAGCTTTAAATATCATTAATCTCAATTTATCGTTGTGAGGATTGCTGTAAATCCTTATAACAACAAACCGTAGGTCAGAGGGGACAACAATATTCATTTGCTTAACTGAGCTACACTTCAGTGCTTCCTTCTACAAGGAAAAAATTTTCATAAGACCTTGAATCCAAGTCAAGTGCCTTTTATTTAGCGTCTAACTCTAAGTCAATATTTGCACATTTGTGTCATACATTTATGCCTCTATCTCTAGCATCTAATGTGAAATAATGTGTCCACATTAATTTCATGTTTTAATCAAAAATATTTTTGGATTTATCTGGATTTTTACCAAATGAAGACATCAGTGGTGTTATGTATTCCTGGGAAGTCTTTCAGAGTTAGCACCGTTCAACACAACAATATTTTAAAAATCCTAAATAACTTTTTTAAATTTTGACCTCACACTGAAAAAGGCAGACTTAAAGACCCACCGGCTTCAGATCTGTGCCTACCAATGAGATAACATAAGACACTGGAAATTATAAAACTGATGCATGGTTCTTCTCTCCACTGAAGGAGAACTCATAGAAACCACAGTTTTGAATACTATAAGTTTCTCCACGAAGCTTCAAAGATGCATGATGCTAAAAAGTTTGTGACTTGCTACTTTGCAAGGGATGGGAGCTGAATTCACAGCACAAATGTGACCCACTTCTATTACACAAGAAAATAATATAAGAAAAAAATCTGATCTCAAATCCTTCAAAGAATGTTGTCCAGATCATTTGGCCACCCTACAGCCATACTATAAAAGCAAGCATGTGTTGTTCATTCAGACGTGCAGGGAAAACAGGTTAGCAAACTCATACCTGCATGTTTTTAAACTTATTCAGGGGTAATATACACTATATTGCCAAAAGTATTTGCTCACCTGCCTTGACTCACATATGAGCTTAAGTGACATCCCGTTCCTAATCCATAGGGTTCAATATGACGTCGGTCCACCCTTTGCAGCTAGAACAGCTTCAACTCTTCTGGGAAGGCTGTCCACAAGGTTTAGGAGTGTGTTTATGGGAATTTTTGACCATTCTTCCAGAAGCGCATTTGTGAGGTCGCACACTGATGTTGGACGAGAAGGCCTGGCTCTCAGTCTCCGCTCTAATTCATCCCAAAGGTGTTCTATCGGGTTGAGGTCAGGACTCTGTGCAGGCCAGTCAAGTTCATCCACACCAGACTCTGTCATCCATGTCTTTATGGACCTTGCTTTGTGCACTGGTGCACAGTCATGTTGGAAGAGGAAGGGGCCAGCTCCAAACTGTTCCCACAAAGTTGGGAGCATGGAATTGTCCAAAATGTCTTGGTATGCTGAAGCATTCAGAGTTCCTTTCACTGGAACTAAGGGGCCAAGCCCAGCTCCTGAAAAACAACCCCACACCATAATCCCCCCTCCACCAAACTTTACACTTGGCACAATGCAGTCAGACAAGTACCGTTCTCCTGGCAACCGCCAAACCCAGACCCGTCCATCAGATTGCCAGATGGAGAAGCGCGATTCGTCACTCCAGAGAACGCGTCTCCACTGCTCTAGAGTCCAGTGGCGGCGTGCTTTACACCACCGCATCCGACGCTTTGCATTGCACTTGGTGATGTATGGCTTGGATGCAGCTGCTCGACCATGGAAACCCATTCCATGAAGCTCTCTGCGCACTGTTCTTGAGCTAATCTGAAGGCCACATGAAGTTTGGAGGTCTGTAGTGATTGACTCTGCAGAAAGTTGGCGACCTCTTCGCACTATGCGCGTCAGCATCCGCTGACCCCGCTCCGTCAGTTTACGTGGCCTACCACTTCGTGGCTGAGTTGCTGTCGTTCCCAAACACTTCCATTTTCTTATAATACAGCTGACAGTTGACTGTGGAATATTTAGGAGCGAGGAAATTTCACGACTGGATTTGTTGCACAGGTGGCATCCTATCACAGTTCCACGCTGGAATTCACTGAGCTCCTGAGAGCGACCCATTCTTTCACAAATGTTTGTAAAAACAGTCTGCATGCCTAGGTGCTTGAATTTATACACCTGTGGCCATGGAAGTGATTGGAACACCTGATTCCAATAATTTGGATGGGTGAGCAAATACTTTTGGCAATATAGTGTATGTCAAACCCAGCTGTTTTGTCAACATAAAGTATCAGTGATTATGTACAAAGGGTTATGCAAAGTTTCTCTCCCTTTTATTTACATTTTTTTCTCAATATACAACTGGGTCACAAAAAAAAAAATCCATTGCAACGGTTGTGAGACAGAGCTGACAACAGCTTCCGTCGTTCTCAAAGGAGCATGCGACACACATGAGACCCACTGCTCAAGCTTACACTGCATGAATGTTTCATATTGAAATCATAGATTTTCTGTGGAACATTAATTTAGTGCTATTCTGCACTATTGGTTACAAACTGACATTGATTTAATATCCTAACTTGATGAATAGATGCATCAGATTCTATTTATATTTTAATAAACCATGTTTTCAGTGATACTGAGAATTCCCAGCACAAAACCAATGCTTCTCTAATTATGTGTCCTTTTTTTCTCTCCAGCCTTTGCAAGTTCTTCACAAAACAGGGAGTCACAGTTAAAGAATGCATTTGAACTGATTGCTGGCAAATGTACATTCATTATGGACATTGTATGGCCATTATTTTTCTCAAATTAAGTCATCCTACTCTATTTCAACACTATCTCTTCCTTCTATTGTCCTCCATCTTTAGCTTTGTTTAGGGTGAGATGTTATCACAAGCCCCTGGAGGTTTTCCGCTTGGTGGCTCCACATATTATTTCTCTCTACTTTCTTACTCTGCTTTATCATTTTCATAAGTTCAGGTGAATAAACAATGAATCACATGTATTATTGAAAGGCAGGATATGGGTGGGGCTGGGAGCATGAATGAGCTTTACTGAGCTGCTGTGCTGTGCATTGTTTGAGTTATTTTTACATCAAAACAGCTGCTTTCCTCTGAAATTATAACAAACTTTACCTTGGTCCGTTGTTTCTGATACATTTCAAAGTGTTTCATATGCTGTAAGTTCGTTGCTTTGTTCTGCTTTTAATATTTCTCTCTGTTTAAAAAACAGTGTCTGCTCAAGAGAGTTGCATGAACCTGATGCAACATTTTGAAAGATCATAATGTTCCAAGTTCGGAAAAGAGCAACCTACAGTAAAAGACCAAAAATCAAAATAGGCCTGATCATTGTTGGATGGATAAACATGTTTTTAATATTATTAGGAGGCAACACAGTTGCTTGAATAATAAATAAAAAAAATAATGGTTTGCAATTTATTAGGAAAGAATATATATGCTCATATTGTTGGCAGTGTGGATTCCTGTAAAAACCTATAGATGATATTTGAACAGAAGAGAGTAAAACTTCTCTAAGACCCAAACTGCCGTTAGTTTAGATAGAGATAGGCTTTTTTCAAAGTAAACACATAAACAATTATTATTAAAACCATCGTCATCAGAAGTGTTATGAGTGTTTAATTTAGAAATGCTGTTAGCTGTTCGCATTCATAATGTCATCATGTTTTTTATCAGTAATATCCAATTTAAATCTTCTGTTCAAAATCTATGCGAAGGTGCATGAGCAAAACCCATAACTAACAGGCAACAATCATTGGTTGAAGTCCATATAAACATCACCAACTGCCTCACAGAACTACTTACAATGTAAAGCTGAATGACTTTAAATAAACTGCTACTTCATTATGTACCAAAATAAAAAAAAACCTCCAAATTAGTTATTTAATGGCCTCTGTATTACCAGGAATTAAATAGTCATAACACTTAAATGTTTTCTTTAACCTGGTCCACAGAACTGTAAAGATTGTTCTTATTCTGTTCTTAACAAATCTCCTTTATGTGACTTTATCAAGATCCTCTTATGCCTCACTCACAGGTGCTTGTGTAGCCATTATTGCAGCTCAGGAAGGTTGCATGTGAATTACCCCATAAGTGGGACTGAAAGGTACTTAGACCAATATAGCAAGGGTTCTGAGTGCATTAACGCCATGGTGGATTTTTTTTTTCTTTTCTACAACATTAAAAAGCAAAGCTGTATTTGATTTACATGCCAGTAACAAAACGGACAAATCAGGCAACCCCTAAAAAAACTAGATATTTATAAGGAACTGTGCAGTAAATAAAAAAATATGTTACTTTTATTAGGCAATCAGTTACTGTCACTACTGTTGCTCATACTATGACTAAACCCAGAACTGATTCAGTGTATAAAACATTAAATAACCTTTGTAGAGTTATGTTCAACAATGTAGGCATTTGAGCTTAAATATTTTGCAACCATAATAATGTTACATTTAAAAATCAAACAAACCTATATAAATTAGGATATATGCCTTAACATTAAGTGGATGTAAGACCCTTTATTTTATGATTTATGCTACATTTTTCATGTTTTATTCTCACTGCTTCTTTAATTTTAAGTTCACAGAGAAATATTCTTCATTCTTTTGGTGCACTGTCATAATGGCTACATTTTGTTTTCCTCATTTTACAGAGTAATGATGGTCATCACAAAGAACAAAAGTTTTCAAATGTTAGTGTGTAAAACGAGGTTAGCTGACACAAAGTTTTACAATGACTGATGAAGTAGTAGTGGTGCTCTCAATCAGTCGGTTTAAAGTTCAGAGGCATTGTTCCTGTTTTTCAGATGTTTATGGCCGGTTTTCTGTAATAAAAGATGAATCAATAAAAAAAAAAGCAGCAACAGATGAAAACAATTACATACGAAACACGATATTGTATTTTGAAAACCTCAGGGTGTCCTCTCGTACGGTGGTGTTTGTTTCTTTTGAAGTGCTCTTTTTCTTTTTGAAGTGTTCAGACGAATTCAACGAAGAGGCTACATGATCATTTGATTGCATGGAGAGAAAGATGCTTTTCTCTAACAACCTGTCTGCATGTGGGTGTGTAAGTGTGTTTGTGAGAGGTTGTGTGGGCGTGCAGAGCGAGTGTGCCCATGAGTGTGCCATGTGATGCCTCCCCACATACAAAGCAAGCACTTTAAATTGTCGGTCTTTTTAAACATGTTGTTTAGAGCTTGTTTTGTACTATAATGCATATAGCTTATATTATATAGCTAAGTGCTTTATGAAATTATGCAAGATTATGCTGAGCATTTCCAGCTGGAGGGAGGGGCTTTAGATACATAGTGCCTTGCAAAATTATTAACATTCTATTAGGTGTTTTTAACTTCTTTTTTTTACAGTGAATCAAAAAAAAATTAAGTGAAACAGTGCAAAATATTACAATTTATAAAAAATAAAAAATCTGTATTGTGAGATGCAAATGTATTCAGCCTGTATTGTTCTGATATTCCTAAATGACAACCAGTCTAACCAAATGTTTTCAGAGTCCAGCTTTGTGTGTATATAATCCCAGCACTCTCACAAAGCCATGAAAATAGTAAGAATTTGGTATAACTGCAAACAAAGATATGGCCAGCCACCTAAACAAATAGGCCTGGCATGAAGAACATTAATCAGAGAAGCAGCCAAGAAGCCCATAATTACTCCAGAGGAGCTTCAGAGATCCACAGCTCAAACAGGATAACCAGTTGTTGTCAACCCCATAAATCTGACTTTTTGGAAGAGTGACAAGAAAATAATCATTACTGATAGAAAGACAAAGATGTTGGGTACAGCAGGAAAATGGAAGAAGGTGTGCTCATTTTATTTTTTTGGCCTACATGCATAATGCAATATTTAGTGGAAAATCAAAAAAAGCACAGCCTTAATGAAATTCTCAGGCAGTTACAGGAAAGCTGGTAACAGGAAAATTGAGCAGAGTTAATAAAGGTTTATCAAAGAGAGGTCCACCTTCCAGTGGGAAAAATAACCTTAGTTAGAGTTAGAGTTACAGTGGAACGGGTTAAATTCAAACAAATTAATGTGTGAGAATAACTCAGTCAAACTCCATAACAAATCTGATTAAGAAACTGTGGAAAGACTAGAAAAAATACAGGTTTACATGCTGTATTTGAATATTTACATTGAGCTTGGGCTACATTGTATAGAGGAAAATAAATCTACAAATGGTAGAGAAAAAAGACATGCAACTATAAATGCATCCATCCATCCATTATCTGACACGCTTGTCCCAATTGGAGTCGCTAGGGGTGCTGGTGCCTATCTCCAGCAGTCAATGGGCGAGAGGCTGGGTACACCCTGGACAGGTCGCCAGTCCATCGCAGGGCAACACAGAGACACACAGTAGAAACAACCATTCATGCACACACTCACACCTAAGGACAATTTAGAGAAGCCAATTAACCTAATAGGCATGTTTTTGGACTGTGGGAGGAAGCCGGAGTACCCGGAGAGAACCCACGCATGCTTAGGTAGAACATGCAAACTCCATGCAGAAAGACCCTTGGCCGGGAATCAAACCCAGAACCTTCTTCTTGCAAGGCAGTAAAATGTTAATCTATGGTGAATTGAATAAGACGTGCTTATTATAAACATATTTTTGATGTTTATTTCTCAAGAAATCTGCATAAGAACTGATTTGTTTTAATTGTTTAGGATAAGACCCCCTCCCCCCCAAGTTAATTTGTGATATGATGTGTATGTAAATGTGGACATAAAAATAAACCTGATACCAATGGTCAATTTAATACATTAATTTATACTGAAGCATTGAAATTTTTTACTGATGGTTCACCAAAGAGCATGGATGTCTTATTTCTGGTGGATCTGCGCATTATAGGACTGTTTTATTGTTGTTGTTTTTTTGTGGCTGAAATAGCAGATAGTTTCTGGTTTTCTAATTAAAAATATCAGCTGCAATTACTCAGCTGTGATTTACCAGACTTATTACAAGTTTGAATAAGTAAAGCAATTTGGCATTTCTTTACAGTTTGCTTTTTATTACTTTACTTAAACAGTTTTAATTTCTCTGTTCACCATAAAAAATATAGCCTTTGATTAAATTTAACCTAATTTGATTTAACCAAACTTAAATTAAAGTTAAATTAATTAAAATCTTCAAATGTTGATATAGCATGAATATATCTTAGTGAAGCTCTTTCATAAATATGCCACATTAATATATATAGAGCTAAAATCTGATTAACTTGTTTTAGCAACACAGAATAAGCTAAAATGTCACTACTTTCCAAATGTTAATGCAAGATGTGGGAGAAGACTCCTTTCTGGAATATGCAGAAATACCAGAAAACCTTGAGGTAGTAAAGGATTTTTAAACACATACATATGAAACGGAAAGGACAGGTCAATCTAAAAAATATAAGGAAAACTATATAACAATATCTAATACTTAAGTTAGATTCTTCTTCGGTATGCCAATTATACAGGAATCATCTTTTATTATTTACATTTATCTGATGTTAGTTTCATTTGCCCTTTAATGTGTGTCTGAATCCCTTATTTGCGATAGAAACATCTTAAAAACGCTGTTTAACAAAAATATCAAGGGCAGCTTTGAAATCTATCAAACCTTTCAAAAATAATGCTCCCTGTGATACTGAAAAGATGTTATTCTACTTATTTGTATCTAACAGTTTATTGCTACATAATAAGCAAATGAAACTTGTGAATGACATAAAAACACACATACCTCATCACTTTCACTGCCGATAAAGTCATCTTCAAGCGTTGCATGCTGCCGCCCTCCACCAGTCCTTTGGACCTGACTGTCTCCAAGCTCCATCTTTTCCTGATCACCCTGATTCTGCCCTCGTCTGGGTGAGTGCGGCAGGGATGAGAAAGTGAACACCTCCCCCTGCAAAGTGAGCTGGGGCTCGGACCCCTCATTACTCTCCCAGCAATTCCAGACCTCTGGGTCAGGAGACAATCCTGATCGAAGTTGAGACACTTCTGGTGTGGAGGCGGCTTCCTTGGTTACCTTTGCAGGGCTGCAGCTCTGCACAACTGGGATTACAAAACATACATTAATCCCTCACTGAAGCAACATTTTAAGATTATTTACTCTATAATATGCTCAACCTTATGATTCTATTTATAATAGTCACTAAACAATCTTTGATACAGTTTTTCATCTGCAAGGAAAAGTCTACCTTCATTCCTGAAATATGTAATCATTATATGTTAGCACTAACTTTTCATCAATCTTTAACAGAAATAGGCCAATGCGATTTCAGTCATATGAAAAAAACAAAAAAGCAGCTTTAAGTGTGCTGCATGCATATGATCCCAGTCAAATTGGATGGAGAACATCTGGAAACATCCATCTATCTTCTACAAGGTCAAGGGAGGCTGGCATCTAACTCCAGTACTCTATTGGTGAAAGGCGGGGTACATTCTAGCAGTCCATCATGAGGCAACACAAAACCATCAACACGCACTCATAACTAAGGGCAAATAGGTCACCAAAGCACTTCATGTTTTTGCAGTGGGAAGAAGCTGCTCTACTCAGAGAAAACCCGAGTATACCGTGGACAACATGCAAACAGCAAGGAGAAACTCCCCACACCAGAGATCCTACCCCAAACTGTCTTACAAGGCGTCAGTGCTGCACACTGCTTTCCTGTGCAGCTTACATTGAATAACTTGAATTTTAAAGTTTTGCTACAGATTCTTAGATCTGGATTTTGAGTAGGACATTCCAAAACAAGAAAATACTCGAATCTAAACTGTTCAATATTTACTATGGCAACATTTGTATGGTCTTTTTCCTGCTGGAACAAAGCCCAGCATTTTTCTGCAGCCTACAATTACCTTTCTATTATTATTGTCCTATTAGGATCCATATATCATTTAATCTAAATCCCTGCTGAAGAATAGCCTTTCCACATCCTGATACTGCTTCTGCTATGTTTAATCATAGCAACGTTGTTGTCAGAGCATTGTTTTCTACTTCATATAAAACTTTGTAAAGTATTTTCTGTGAACAAACAACTGTTCTTCCACCTGAGTTGTGAATCTCCACAGCTCACCCAGAAATTCTAAGGGCCTCTTAGCATCTACAACTTTAAATCTCAGCTGGCTTCCTTTGTTTTCATGATGCTTTTCATGACCTTACAAAAAGCTTTTATTTGGTAACTAATGAGAGTGATTGATGGCATATTGTTTGATTTATGGTTATAAAAGTAAAGAGGACTGAATATTTAGTTACGCATAAAACAGGTACAAGTCTGTGTGCAGGTTTATCATGTACAATTTTTAGAAATATATAGGAGATTGTGATTGTAGTGTGAGCAAGTTCAGTATATATGAATACTTATGCAAGGCACTGTATAGAAAAGCCAAGAGGGGTAAAAGCTGTTATAAGCTTAATGAAAGTTACTTCAATTTTTAAGTGCAAGTAAGACACAGTGAATCTTTTTTCTTCAAGATAAACCTCAGCTAAAAGACAGAGGCACCTAAATCTGAATGAGTGAGCACATTTGAACCTCTCGACAGTATAATCACTTCCTCTAATTGCCCACTGTGTGGCAAACCCTGGGCCCAGGAGATGTCCCTCTGACTTTTATTTAATGTGCCACATTACCATTAATGAACTAACTACTTTCCATCGGTGGGCAGGGCAGCACCAAAGGAGCTTACTGCTTGTGGAGAAACCTCCATAAATGAGCTCTCAGAACGCATGCACTCATTTTGCAAGGACAATGTGAGAGTGGGTGTGTGCGCATGAGGGTTATGTGGGGGATGGCGGTGGGGAAGAGAGCACAGGTTGGAGAGAGGAGGGTCATGCAAGTGGCCCTGATGTGGGTTATGTAAAATTTAAAAGAGGTAAAGAAGCATATATGCAGCACAGAAGCATTAAAATTCATGCTACATTTTTGAAGGGATCTAATTTCTGAGTTATCTAAATATGTAGAAGGACAGATTTTCAAGTATAAAGGACCTAACTATTTAAATAAGCAAAACCAAAAATGATCATGTCTGTCTTCCAACATTGTTCTATGCTACTGTGTCTTTATTTTTGTCTTACAAAGAACATGTTATCATACTCTTAACTTCCCCATGACTAGATTTGCAGATGTTTGGGCTAGAAGCCCAAAAGACAATACTACAATACATACCCTGATTCACATAAATAATGTACCTGATGATGGTACCGTCTCTCTTCTGGCAGTCAGGACTCGTAGCTTCTTAGATCCCTGCTTACCAAACAGCCTTTGTTTAGGTGGGCGCGGTTGTAATTTGCAAGATGCTCCTACAAATAATAATTTGATCATAAAATGGTTTATAACACAATGGATTCAAACAACAATGTTATTAAAGCTTGCCAGAAGCATATCTGTGAACTGATTATGCACCGTGAAAATCCCTAATAATGAAGGTATTTCAGCAACTGAGCTTCTTACATTCATTCATTGCAAAAAGAATATATCCAGCTACATTATGTTCAGCTGAATTAAGGAATTTTAATCAGCCAGATTTTGCATTCAGTCATGCTGAAAGGATAGTGTATTACCAATCATAAAGGCTGTTATTGGATGCTCCAGATACTTCATACTCTGCAGAAACAGAGCTTATTTTTGTGTTTCCCTATACAAAATACTTTTACAAGGATACAAGGCTTGGCAGAAGAAGCTAAATGATTTCCTCAAGGAAGATTCTCAGCAATAGGTGACACCATGTAATAAGCCAAAGCTATCTAGACTCATGGTGATGCAGCTGCATAGTCAGTGACACTTTCTTTTAATTATTTTTTACATTCATCCGACTGTAGACATGTCTAAGGTGTTCCTGCCCTCTCTACAACTGACAGAGAAAGGGATTTTCTTAGCATCATACTGTATACTGCCTTGTATACTTTATATATGGAAAGATTCTCCAGAAAAAAAATCCTAACAAAAAAATAAAAATAAAAGACTTAAGTTTGCCTCAATGGCTTTAAATAAGTAAATAAAGATCTTTTTAAAAGGAACTTAACCATTGCTCATTTTATAAATTAGGCTTAAATAATGCAAAGAGGTGTGACCTGTGGGACCCTATTACCCCTTCTATACAGCTTCTTGTGTCTCTAAGTATTATCAATTTTACATTTGTGAGCATTTATGTACAGAAGTCAGGTTTTTTATATAATTTTAACAGAAAAAAAACTTGGAATTTTGGTATTTAAAACAGGCCAGTGTCTTAGAAAGGCTATTAAATTATATGGAGAAGTCTATGCACCCATGAAGCTAAACAGATTTTATTGGGGTTAAACAAATATGATATTTTCTGTATATAAAGGTGATTTTTAATTTTTCTTTTTTTATGTAGCAAATCACTTCTTCTACTTGGCAGTCTTACCTGCTGGGCCTGGTCTCATTTTACCTTTGGCATAACAGCATTACTTAGTCCAGTTAAATGGAAAATACATTATCTTTCACTTGAATCTATAAGTTTGGATAGTGTTCTGAAAAGTTAAGATAAAAAAAACAGTGTATATAGCTCACAATTTAAAATTTAAGATCAATTATGCTGATAGAAAAAAAATAAAACGTATCCAGCTTGTGGCAGTCTTTATTTGTTTTGGGCTTTTACAGGGTGTTTCTTAAGAAAGCTGCCAGTAACCTTTAAAAGTCGGAAATAGGTTGTGGAGATACAACAGTAAACCAAAACAGCAAAGGTATTTATGTATCTCAGTAATAATTTGAACTCGATTTTTAACAGCATGTTTAACAAACGTGGCACTGGGTAGTTTATTAGTGTATGTGAAACATACTACAGTAAGCATGGACCAGAGAGGCAGAAGTTATGACATCTTTATCAAAGATAAGGCCTACAGGACGATTTCTAAGTAGCTTTTTCATCCTATTACAACAGAGAAGAGTAAATGTAGTTTCAGGATGATTAAGACAGATAGTTCAAATAAATATTAGAAAATATCCAAATCTATGATTGACAAATAATTGTTGAACCTAAGAGGCTCCATTGCACAAGCTGTTTAAGAGCCCCAGCAATTACACAAAGGACAACAATAAAGCCCATCTTGAATTTGCCAAAATGCATATTAAAAAGGCCAAATGTTTCTCAAAGTTTACTTAATGAACCACACAGATGCAATGGAGCTTTAAAGCTAGTCACCGGTTCTCTGTCTATCAAAAAAGACCACCTTACCAACTGTGAAAGATAGGACTGGCTTTTCTGCATATTTTATTTTTATTTTCAGTGGCAAAAGATTTAAAAGTTAATACCAATGTGGGTATTTCCCATGCCAAAAACTACAGCTGTAATCAGGGCCCTTTAACAGTTTCGTCTGTGCCAAAAACAGGGTAATGACCAGAAAATACAGCTAAGGACAAAATTACTGGAAAAAAAAAAATGTTGGTCAAGGAGCCCAGATCTTCATCTTATTATACATATAATAAATCAAAATGTTACAGAGCAAAGATGCCACATAAAAAAAGGTAGAATTTTTTGAGCATTTTACTTATGAAAAGTGGAGACGGCAGATATCTCATTGCAAGGAAAGAAATTCCTTACTGGCAGGGACTGCTGCAAAAAATGCTGACATAAAATAGCAACAGTTATTAAACTACAGTAATTTAATGAAACATTTACCTAAATAGAAACATTTTAATAAAACTGAAAACAAAAGATATGTCTCACTTTTGTTAAATAGGAGAAAATCAAAGCCATTTTTCAGTTACTTTAGAATTGTTTTTTTTTTTTTTTTTTTTTGTTCCTTAGTGAGGTAGGAAATCAGAAGGTTTATGTCTCTGAATTAAATGCAAAGCAGTAATACATTACAGATATCACTAAATCCAACATCAGTATGACCTGGGCACACATTTTTTTTAAGTACCCTTTCTTTTATGATTGTTTCTTCTTTGTTGTTATAAAGCTTAAAATCTACTGTGCAATTACAGATCTATATTCTCTCCTGTTTGGGTTACAGAAGCGAAGTTGTATGCTCTTTCCTAAGCTGTTAATTTGAGCCAGTACACAACAAAGCTAACAAAGAAAGCTAAAATTAAGGTTTTCAGTGATGAAAGAGCAGACCAAGGACGTTCTAAGATGTTGAAAACATTCACGCATAAGAAAAATACAGATCAATACTCTATATACTCAAATTTACCTTCAGCAATACCATTGGACTGGTGACCATGAGAGAAATCTTCACCTCGCATTTTGATTTTCTGAGTCTCAGTGGTTTTCTTTTGATTCAGTCTACATGATGAAGAACCCTGTGAAACAATACCAGAGGCAAGAGAAAGGTTCAATCACAAGATATAGCTACAATATTTGACTCCAAAGATAGATAATTCACAGATATATACACCATCTCATGCAGATATATGAAAAAACTAAATCCATTAACAAAAAGGCAGGGAATTAATCATATTATATGTTTAATGCAGTCAATGTTGTGCAAGGAAGGTAATCACCAAGTAATAGCGTCACTGTTGGTCAAAGCTCTGTGACATATTTTTATAGTTTCAAGCCATTTTAGAAATGGATGGATGGATGGATGGATGGATGGATGGATGGATGGATGGATGGATGGATGGATGGATGGATGGATGGATGGATGGATGGATGGATGGACAATATTAAAACCAAATCACAAGTAGTAATGCACTGTAAATAAATCATACACTTCTCTCCATTCTGTCCAAGTTTGTACTGCTTGTTCTTCCAGCACTGGGTGACGCTGAATGAGAGCCTGAGGCTGTCGGTAAAACACCCTGGGGCTTGGTTCTCCGATAACTGCTTGATGTGGCAGTGGGAGACTGATCAGGTACTGCAGAAAGAAAGAAATTTCCACACCTCATTGGTACACAGAACTGTATATTTAAGGTCAGAGAAGCAGCATTTGTCTGCTAACAATGGCTAGTAAAACTTTCTCTTCACTGTAACTGGAAAAAAAAAAAACTTTTAAAAAAGGATTCTGTTTAGTTTATATAAAGAGGTATTTTTCCGGATACAATACTTTGTAAATATATCCAACAATAAGGTTTATGTATTGATATGATTCCAATGACTCTTTTGGGATCAAGTAAGATAGAGCATAAATTAAAAGACTATACACATAGACACATAAACAGCTAATAATTGGATTTCCATTAAACTAAGACTTATCTAATAGAGTTGAAAAATGTGTTTCTAGCTATCAGTACCATTTCATTGTGTGAAAATAATAGGCTGAAGTGGGAGTTGTTCTAATACGGTATCAACCTGACCTTGCTGTATCTGTGCCAGGGCTAATCAAGACCACCTCTGCTGAAGCTAACAGCAAAACACCCGTTCTATCTGATCCTCATCAAAGCGCAGAGCAAACACTTTCACTCCGCAAGACAAACATGATCGACAACATGATACCAACCGAGCTTAACTGGATGTTCTAAGAAGGAAATAGGAAATCACACTTCTCTGATACAGCAGATGGAACACACTGAGTTGTACCTGTTGTGTGAATAAATTTCAGTGTGCCTCAAATCTGCAAAAGCCCATAAAGAATAGGATAACAGAAAGGATTACAATGAGATATATGTATGATAGCTGGCTCTGGAGGAGTAGTTTTAACAGTGATTTGGATCTGTGAAAATTCATTGACCTTCAGAGCAACAAAGAGTCTTTGGTGTAGCACTGAGATAAACAGGGTTTGTTTGTTGTCGCATGACAAAAATGAAAATCTGTAGCTTCCCTTTAAACACATTTTGACAGTTTGGGTACCAAAAGAAATACATTCAACAAACAACTTAAATTGAATGCCTACTTTAATAGCAATCTTCTTAATTATGACTAGGTATGTTGTGCTAATAACACAGATGCTAATTATAAAAATATTTTTCTCGTGTGTGGTTACTGCTCTCATGTAGGGGCACTGCTGCTTGATTCAACATGACTTGGACAGCTGTCAGAACAAATAAACATGCACTGATAAAAAGGCCACAAAGGCAACAGAACTGGATCACTGGTGCATGTCTTTTTATATGAGGAGATAATTGCTGCTTCTTTTGAGCAGGTGAGATTGCAATAAACACAAAACTGGGAAATAAAGAAGTTCGGACAACTAAAAGCAGAGTGGTTATAATCACAAAATGAAAACCCAAGCCACTATCGATGTCTATATATTACTGTAAGTAAGCACATGCCTTCAGCTACTCTGTATTTTTGGCTTCAAATGTTGAAAAAAGACAGTTTATTGACTAAATAAAGCTTTATTTTCACCACATAATAAAAAAAAAAACTATTTATAATTCTGGATAATAACTCTTTTTTTCAACACAGCTGATAGATAGGCTGGAAGGATGGGTGGGGTTGTACTGTGCATGATGGTTAAAACCTTTATTGGCTGATTTACTTGGACCAATTTACATGTGGCAAATAGAAAGCTGATTGAAAGGAAATCCAAATTAGAGATCCCTCAATGCTTCATTACAGGACCACTTTTTACTCAAAAGTGTATCATAATGTACAATTTTATATCTAACCATCCTGAAGAGTGCCTTCAAAAATAATTCAGTATCCTTTAAATCTTATCCCAGTTTGACACTGCTAAATCAAGTAATGATTCAGTAGATTTGATACAAATCTGAGGAGTTAAATCCAAGTATTCATATCAGCTATAAGGGAAGAACAGATATTAAGCATAGTGGGGACCACCCATAGAGGACAAGTTCAGACCCTTGAGGATATTTAGGGACCTATTTACTGTATGTTCCCAGGTTTAGAATTAAAAAATTACTGTTTTTGCTCTGAAACCAACTCCCTTAAGCCTGAAATGTGCTAAAAATGTTTGCTACTAGCTTAACAATATGACTGCTTATGTTGCTTTCCCATTAAGGTATAAGATTATTGTTTTATAAGCAATTGTTTGTATCATCTAAATCACTTATGGGCTTCAAATAGGCACAAACAAAGCATAAAGTTTGTCTTATTTACTGCCTTTATTTTCACTATGTTGTTTTTATCTATTCCTAGCCCTAAAAGTAATTGCCAATCTCTTTAATTCTTTATTTTTCTGTAAAGCACTAAGAAATATCTGAATATAAATGCTACATTGAAAACATTTCCCTTGATTTATAGTCTTAAATATGCATTTGAGATAAAAAAAAAAGGTATGACTGTGCAAATATACAGTAATTTGTCCTGTGTTTTTTTGTGTTACTCTCTGATTTACTGATGATTTGTCCAATCTGTGCTGCCGCTTACCCATTAACTACAAGCACCAGCATCCCTCTCCCACCTACATGACACTGCAATATTTTAGGTTATAAATGATGCTAGGATGGATCATGGATTTTATCTTCATAATGTTATTTTTAGATGTTGAACATGTCACCATTATTATTTTTGTTACAATAACAACCTTTTTCCTATAAAGATGGATCTCCAGGCAGCAGACATGTCTTTTAATAGAGCGGTGGATGTGGTCAGTCAGATACTGATGCTGAAGATAAGGCCATTTCTCAATCCACAGCAGGTTAATAGCAAAACAGAGTTTAGGTTACGTTTTTAAAAAGAAATTGGCCTGCACAGAAAAGCTTGGTTGTGTGTGGGGCAGCAAAGTCAAGCTGAAACATTAGAGGGTTTTTCCAAAGCTGCAGCTGCAAAGGCTACAGCCTAATAACACAGACTGTGTAGGAAACGTCCACAGGAAAAGCACATAAAGCTATGAAGAGGGTAATCTGTTTTATTGTGTTTTTGTTCTGTTAAGTAACCTAACGCTGTTCTTAATTGAAAAAAATCATATTCATTCTGAGGTTTTTGTCTTACTTACCAGAGGCAGATGTAAGAGGATCACACCCTTTTTCAGCCCTTTGTAAATTTTCATAGTTCAGCACATTAGTAATTTGGTTCACATCTGAAGGGTAGCAGAAACTGCGCGGGATCATCTCCATGAGACAAGCCCCACTAAGAAATGCGTCTGCAAAAGAAATGAAAATGTGCACTCTTCAATAATTTATACAAAAAATGTAGGGGTATATTTTTGACAAAACAGGCCAAACTACATCATTGTGACATATTATTCATGTCACAGAAATAAAAAAAATTTGTGGTGTCGAGTGAAAATGAACTGGCCAGCCATTTCCTTGCACCTGTTCTGTTGTGCATCTCCACTAAAATCTACCAATTTGCTTTTAGCAAACCATCACAAAAAACAGAAAACACACAGGATAAGGCAGTTAAGCCTTACCTGTTTAACAACCAACCAGACACACAAACGACTTAAGGGCAAGCTGATAAAGCTTAATAACTTGTAGCCAATACCAAAATTCAGATGCATCACCTGACATGACTTTGGGGTCCGTTTTCATGGTGAAGATCCTCCTAACTTTGCAGGTAGCAAACAACGTGATGCCATCCAGAGTCAAAAATCCCTTGAAAAGTTCACCGGCGATTGATACAAGGTCGATGCACACCGTGGACCACTGAGACAACAGGTACAACATAATTTCAAGCTTTTAGTGATTCAGTTCAGCTCTTACATTTAAACATGAAAAAGGATAAAAAGTACATAGCCAAAAGTGCATTTAAAAATTCATGATGAATGCATAAAGCATGAATAACATACTCACAGTATTGCGCTTCAGCTCTGTGAAAGGTATCTTTGCGTGCAAAAGTGTGGCAGATATCTCTTTATGCACTGTTGAAAAGTAAATTCTTCTTTTTAGATGCTCTAAATCTGTTATCCTGTTTATAACAGATAAAACAAAAGTACATGAATTATCACCTGCTGCAACCGTGTTGCTTGGAGATCCTGATTATATAAAATGCAAAACGTTATTGTTTTCTGATAGAGAACCTTAAAAATGTTTTCACTTTAAATATAAGATTGCATCAGCTGTCTAGGTTGATTTAAATCTAAAGGTACATCTCAGTGAATACAGATATACTGAAAAATTTGAATTAAATTTAGAGATTCATTACACACAGTGATCTAATTTAGACATGAATTTCTGTTGGTTTTGAAGATAATAGTTTACTTTTAATAACAACCCGACATTATTTTTCTCCAAATAATTGGATTGTACATAGAAGCAGTAAAGAATATTAAAGGCAACACAATCATGGGGAAGAGTCTGGACATGCTGTCAGTTGTGGTACAGCAGACAGTCTTTGACAGATTTATTGTGAAGAGTAAGAAGCAAAAAGTCATTGCTATCCAGCTACTGTATATCAGCAGGACTTTTAGTGGGGGGGGGGGGGGGGGGGGGGGGAATGGTGTGTTGGTAAAAGATAAGACAAGGCTTGTTTATTTGCATAGCACATTTTAGAAAGAACACAATTCAAAGTGATTAACCTGATAAAAGCATGGATACATTGTGGTGGTATGATACAAGGATTAAATACAAGTTATACTACAGAAATTGTTTGGTTATTTATGCACAAACACACACCGCTTTGTTTTCATGACATATGGGGACATTTCACTGACTAGCATTAATTTTATTTGTCCTAACCCAGACCCTTACACTAACCCTCACTATTACCAACAAATATCTAACCCTAACCTAAACTGAATTAGTACTAAACCTACCCCCGAATCTAAGAACAGAACCTTCCTATATGAGGACCAGTTAAATGTCCCCATATGTACCTGTAAGTCCCCGCATGTAGGATATTGGATAAAGATGAGGTTTCAAAGATTCCGTCACATTAGTTTGTAGCTGTAATAACATAATAGCTATTTGCTAACTTGATCACCCCTACATCGATCCAAACTAAAGAAATTGATCTAGGCTTTGATTTGTTATATGGATCTATTAAACACTTTGAATTGCCTTAGTTACCTTGTAACATCAAAATATTGAACATCAGATCTGCTTGGTCATGTTAACTTTTATTTTAACTGATAAGGGGGGGTGTAAATACTGTGTTGAGCTGCTGCCTATTTTTTTTTACAAGGCATTTACCTGTTAAGCTCCACTTTTTTCATGGCCTTACTGATATATATAATATCTTATGTGCAAATGCTTTTAAATTTTGAGTAGAAACGCATCCAGATTTTTTTTTTTTCACAGTGATCTGCTGCTTTTAAAACCAAGGGGGGAAAAACACCTGCCTAAAGGGATGAAATTAAAAAATAATCAAATACACTACACAAACAACTGGGACAACAACAGACTTGAGAGCATTGTGAAGCAAAGAATTTGGCAGAAATTTACAAGGCATGGACTACAGCCAGAATTGGCACTTCAAAAGATCCAGCATATCGGCTACAACTGTTGCGATTCTTGTCTAAAGACACCACTAAACAGAGACAACATCAGAAGCATTTTACCTAAGCCGAGAAGAAGAAGGACTGCACTGTACCTTAAGGATGCATACTCTTTTTTATCTGAGAAAGTAGATTAAGATCTGAAAGACTTGAGCAGTAATAAGAGGCCAAAAAATGTATTTAGTCAAGGTACAGTGCAAAGTTTCACATTTAGTTTTTTGGGAAAATAAATAATATATACCTAGACGGACGGATGGATGGATGGCCAGACAGAGAATGAGGCAGTAGAAAGATAGATAAATATACAATGCAAAAAGAGCCCAAACCAATTTAATGTGTCTGCAATGAAGGTTGGTTATTTATTGTTATTTATCTAATAGAAATATTTAATTTTCTCATATATTGAATTTTCTGCTTTTTGTGAGCTGATGGATGTCTGCTATCAAAATGACCAGAAATCGATTCCTAAAATATATCATCTGTTTGTAATAAACTAAATGATTTTGATTTTATTATCTGAATTTATGGGGGAAAAAAAGAAATCACTATCAAAAGAGGCTAGTAAACTATATATCAAATATCAACTTTTTTCTTGGAATCTGAAAAATATAGTATAATAATACTTTAACAAAACTTTTAAGAGTTTTAAATTTCATATTATGAGAAAAGTATTTTAAATGTATACTTACACAAGCTCAATAGAAAAATCACAGCGCTCTGGAACATTTACTTGAAGGACCAAAAATGGTTGAATAAGCCCAACTGTGATGAAACACCAATAATGGAAAAAAAAATAATCACCATACAAATTAGAAAACAAACATAATTGTGCAGGAGCTTGTATAAAAAGAATGATATTGACTTACGGGACATTTTAGCATTCTCTGGCATTTGCATTTTGACAGTGTGGCTGCTTCCTTTCAGACAGTAAACAAATCCTTTAACTTCTTTATTATACTCCTAAGAGAGAACATAATTCAGAAGAGGTCTCACTAAGTCTGAGGCCTTCCCATGTATGACTGTATACCTGTTGTGTAAATGTCCCGGGGGGATAACAAATGGCTTTTATGGGAGCATATATAAGAGGCTTAAGCCATAAAGTCTATATGTCAAGATCAATTCCAGCTGAAAAAAGTGTTTAGTTGGCAGTATTGCTTGGCATCTATTGTAATGAAGGTAAGAATCTCTGTCAGCTCTGTATGAAAAAAGCAACTGACCTCCACAGAATCTGTGTTGCAGACATCTGATCTGATTTATCAGGATCCCACCATATGGCACTTATGCAGTGAACATCGCTATTGAGCTGTTTTGTAACATTTCTATTTTTTTTTCTTACAATAGTGCTCACTGATGTATTTTGTTCCACTATGCTGCATTAGACTGTGCTATATATTGCATGCTTGTGCAAGCCCGTATTGAAGATCTAACAATAGCGTGACTTAGAGGACACATGGGCCTGTTAAATTTGATTGTGGTGTAAATAAAAAAGCAGAAGGAGCGCGCTTGTAAACCTCACTTTATGTATAGCCGAAGGTCCCCCACAAAGCTTCCATTTGGCTACAGGGTCATTTCCTTGTCCACTGAAGAGATCAAACACAGCTCCCCCCTGCAACAATAGGAGCTATTCACTATTTTATCCTCCTCCTAATATTAATTAACATTTAAAAATATATGCAGAAAAATTAGTAAAGCATGCCGCAGATATCAGTTACCTGGTAATTGCCCTTAAACATTGTGATGCGTCACATCGAAGATTAAACTGAAGAGTTCCTCGGAAATTATCAGGATAAAGTTTGTCTGATCCCGAAAAGTGAACTGCATCAAACGATTAACTGAAGGTATATTAATGCCTGTCTTAACAAAAAGCGCTAACTAGGAATGTATAGGCGTAAGAAGAAGATAGACAGGTTAGCTAATTCAGGAAGCGTCTCCATGGTTACCAGACTCCAAACATTCCAGCGCTCGCGAGGTTTTCCTCAACATTCAGCTCTGAAAATGAGACCTAACCAGAGGCGTAGCCAGAACATTTTTATAAGGGTGCCCAGGCAATAACCATTGTATACTAAGGGGTGACCGAAAGTGGATAGGAGCCAGAACCTCAGGGTCAGTCTACACTGTTCCAACAGGAAAATTAACAAGCACAAAGTCCATATTTTCTAAATAAAGAAAAACTATACTTTATTTTATAAATTTTGACGATAATCTGGTATGATCTGGTAAACTGTAAAGTGCCTTGAGATGACATTTGTTGTGAACTGGGGCTATAGAATTAAACTGAATTGAATTGAATTTAAACTTTTTTTAATTTTCTTTTAATTAAATTTTTTTATTTTGTTTTTTTATTTTAAAAAAAAAATAATTGAAACTTATACTTTCCTACAACCTTTGTTAACAGATAAACAGATAAACTGTATTTTTAAACATCTGTATAGATAAATGGTATAGCGAACATCTTTCCATTTTACAATGGAAAGATGTTACCTTATTTTATCAATAACCATTCTGCATAAAATTGATATTTACAAGTACTAATATCAACATAAATTGATTATTTACTAAGTTTTTAATAAAGTAGTTATTTATCACTGGCCAATCATCGAGGTGAACGATGATTGGCCACCCATCTAGCTCCGCCCCTGGAAATAACATGTGCTACATTTTGAACAGCAAAGTTATTTATTCAAATGTGAGTTCTCACAACCGTAATGTAGTTGTATTGTCCCTTTACCATAGACTTCAGTGGATTTTAGGTTGCTGGAGGCGATTTTCACTCATATAGTGATTAAAAGTTGCAAGATTTTACAAAATTTGCTTTGTCTATGAATGAGAATGATAAAGACAGTAGATTTGAAAATCAATAAAAAAAAGTCAAAATTCATTATGTTAAATGTGGTTCTATGTGACAAACACTATGCATAAGAAGAAAGCGTATTATGTTGCACTGCACCATTGACAGCCACCTTTTTAACGATGGAATGACAAAAGAGACAAGCCAAGGGAATCTTTGACAAAGGAAATTTTAGGCTTTACAAATGTAAGTAAAAAGAATTAATTTTAAAAATAGAACATAAATTCACAACCAAGGTACTCTCAAGGAACTTTACAAAAGAAAATGGCTATAGTTTCAGAACTTGTTTGTCAGCATTATCAGAATTTGAATAGCTTCTTATTTCCTTTTTAGTTTCCTTTTTTTTTTTTCAAGTTAAAAGGCCTCTTCCTAATAGTTTGGTGAAATTGGAAGTTTTTATGTTAGAAAATCTAACTTAGGGCCGTAATATAAACGTGTTACTGTTAAGTGGTAGTACCTGATTTTTCTTTTTTTGAGAAGCACTGAAATACATTTTTATCCCTATTTTTCATAGGGAAATTATAAAAATAGACATAGATAAAAAGTTTCCTCTGCTCTTGAAATGCTAAAATCCATTACTGTGTCATTGTCACTTGCTTTGTTTACCCAAGAAGCACTGCTATTACAAGATCAAAAAGATGTATTTTAATTAGCTTCTGAGGGAGAATACGTCCGGAAGTATGACTCTATGTCTTACCGCTTATTAACATTTCTGCACATCTTACTTCAAAAGCATAGGTGGTCTCAGTTATTTATGGATTTAGAACAAAAGAGGCCAAACAAAGAGAAATATTTTCAGTTGCACCTATAACTACTCTGAGGTTTTATTATTCCAGAACAAACGCTGCTGCAGAGTTTGTTACTGTCAATGTTCTCCCTCTTTGTTCAGTTTTCAGCAGAATGATTTCAGATATTGTAGCGTAGGGTAAACAGTTATATAGGGTTTAATGAACACCTCTCTGATTCCTTATGACTCCTTTTGGTTGCATGTAAAATATGATTGATATGAGGTCAAGTACATTCGATGATAGGAACATGATTTAATCTTTTTGTCTGCTGCCAGTGTAAAAATCACATCAGTACAAGTAGAGGACATTATGACCTGATTTTGTATAACTTCTTGCCTTAAGAAGTTAAGCCTCCAGGGTCTATTATATTCTCAAGTTGGCATGCCTGTCATGTTCACATGTGGATTCACAACAATTATGTTAAATCCTCCTGTTCTATGTAGGCCAGTAGTACTCAACTCAAATTAGTTGGCTTGACAAAAAAGCTTGCCCATGATCTTGAAATTAATTGCCACAGATTTTGGACTCATTGCTCTGACTACTTTCTTGGTTCGCTTCTCTTTACCATCTATTTCTTGAAGTTTATGCCTATCTGTGCAGATTTGTGATTGCTACTTCCCACTCGTGGAGCCCTAAGAGGCAGCAACATGTCTCTGGAGAGGTTAACATAGCTATTCAAAAGTATTTATATCATCTTTGACATTTTGAAACATTTCATTCCACAAACCTTAATAGATGTCATGGAGATTTTTTTTTTTTGCTGTTTTTTTTAACGCTATATGTGGACATCAAAACATTGTAGACGTGTGTATTATTGCTGAGTCCAAGAAAGATTATATACCCTGTTGATGTTTTTCATTGCATACAAATTCAAAATATTTAAAGTGTCCCCATCTAGGGACAAGTACTGTGAATTAGCTCTTGCTATACAGACATCAGTTGTTGTATTTGTCCGTATAAATAGATACAGTAGCATTTAGCCTTATGATTTAGATATTTGTAGATTTTTTTTTTCGCTGCAATTTTTGATTTTTCCAGCTTTTATTGTCATTACACTGTCACAAGTACAGAGCAACAAAATTCACTATCTGCATTTAACTCATCCTCTTGGGAAGCAGTGGGCTGCCATTGTGCGGCGCCCCGGGAGCAGTGTGGGGTTAAGGGTCTTTTGCTCAGGGAGCCAGAGTGGCAGTTTGTGGGAGTGAGCCTTGAGCTGAGAACCTCTGGATTCCAAGTGCAATGCGCACTAGGCTGCCACTCCCCTGCAAAAGCTATGAATTATTGGGGAATCTCTACTAACGCTACACATTTGTTGTTGTCCAATGTTTTGGTTTTTTTTTTAAGAAAAGGGAAAACTGTTCTGGACTATGGCTATAGCATCCTATTTGTGTAGTAGTCAACTAACATTTTTCCTTTAAACAACCCTCCCATCTGAGCTGTGAATCTCTGTAGCTCCACCTAATTTAAGTCTGTATATGCATTAACTATTATAACTATCGCACTGACTTAGAATTCACTAAATTGTTTCAGTAATGTGTAAAATGCTCATTGCAGGGGAGAAGACAGGAAAGGTAAGGGAGAAGATGGAAGGCAAAAGAAGTTGACCGAAACAATTTATCATCAGTACCGTATTTTCTTTAAACAGTAACATTTCATTCTCTACCATGGTGACCAAATGTGTAGTACCCCTTCTTCTCCTTCTCCCAGACATTCACCCATATGGTATGAAATGTCATAGGGAATACTTGGATTGTTTAGCCAGCTAATGAAGCATATCCCCTCTCCACTAAACTAGAGATCAGGTATGGTACTAAAACTATTACCTACATCTCCCACTGACTCATAATCACTCCAAATATCCTCCTCTCTGAATAGATGCTTTATTAGGATGCTAAATAAAGGGTTGTGTGTTAGATGAAAAAAGGAATCAGCAGAGCCTGGCACTTTGAGAGCTTCATAACTGACTTCTCTCGCAACAATAAAAAAAGTAGTTTGATGATGATTGGGACAGACAGCATTATTAAAATAAAGCCTGGCATGCAGTGAACACTGACGAAGCCGGTATGGAGAAATCAGTTAATAAATCAGCTCTTGTTAGCATACTTGATTATGACTAATTATGTTCTCATTATTTTCAAAAGAATCTATTAATTTAGACCAATCAAAACACTTCAATTAGGGTTGACACTATTTGTTATGACATACTATAGAAGGACAGTTACATGAGATGCTTTGCTTTACAGCTAAAATAGTCAAATAATACCCTCCAAGCTCTGATGGATGCACAACATTTTGTTTCAAAGGAATCATCATGACCAAGTACTTTATTTACATAGCATTTGAATGCAGATGACATTTGAATGCAGTGAGTGACCCTTACAGGCGGGCTGAGAAACTAATGCATCTCAGAGCATATACAGAAGCAGTCTTCTACCTTAAAGTTATTTCTATTGATCCAGTCTGGGTTTTCCTTCCAAATACTCATCAACGCTCAAGCGTAAGCTTCTTACATCATAAAAAATGTAACTATTCAACACAAGATTCTACAGAAAGTACAGTCCAAAAGGCCAAAGAGCTAAAAAGGCACTCTTTGGCAAATGTAAAATCACACACCTTGTGTAAGCGCATGACTATTTTTTCTCAGTCTAAATATGGGAATTAATAAACACTATCGTTGAAAAGCATTCATTGTCAGCACATGTATTAGTAAATATCTTTTCTGACCTCCAACCAAAGAACATGCATTTTTTATAGAGAAGATAAAAAATAGATTACCCAATCCTCTCGTGGCAACATCCATAGTTTGCAAGAAGATTCATATGTTTGTTGTTTTTTCTCATTACTTTTGTATTGATTTAAAAGTGTAGAATGTGTTAAAGGTGTAAAATCTTAGGTGACTACATTTGCTTTGGTCTTTGTTTATCTGCTTTGATGTGCTGGATTCTTTTCAGGCTCTGTTCTATATACAATGTGTTTGATTTACTCTTTTTACTTTTTTATAGCCCACTGACCAATCAAGAGGTTTCTAAATGGGAATGAGTCTGTACATGAATCTCCACCAAAGTGCTGATATATACTAGCATACACTCTTCCCTATTAAATAAAATTAATCTGCTAAATCTTCAGATTCTATAGTTTGTCATTTGTAGTAAGTAGTTATTTTATTCCCTTTTGCTTCCTAAACTTGTCTAATGCATTTAAATATAAGTGTGGTCTTGAGTTAGAAGAGCAAAAAAGCACATATATATTTCTTTTTCAATTAGCTTACATCCATCCATCTTCTCC